CAAGGTTGAGACCCATGACACCTGCTCCACCACACGCATTCATGCCGGGGTTCTTTGAGCGCCTGAAGACATGAACTTAGCGTTCAGATGTAAGTTTNTTAGCGTTCAGAGTTCGGTCTTTATATCCTGAACTCTGAAATCAAAACGGAAGTGGGCCCAATTGACTTTCGTTACGTATTTGCAAGTAGAAACAAAATAGAATATTTTCCTTTTTATTTATTGCTAATTCAGTTAGGTAAAGCTATCCCTGTAACAGGCCGTGAAGGCCCATAGGGTTGTGAGACGTCGAGGCTCCCATATTTTCTCTAGATAATCGTCTCACACATAGCGTTCAGATTGTCAGCCTTATGCGCCGGCCGCCCTTTATACCTCAGGAAGATTCCTGGTACTCATTTCTGTTAGAGCTGAGTCGAACCCAAGGTCACAGTGCGGCTGGAAGGATTAGGTTAATTGAAATATCCACTTCATCAGGACACTACACCCGTCCCCACACGCTTCACTTCGACGCGGTGTATGCCTCGACTAAATTCAGCGGAATGAGTCTTACATCCCAGGGGTACACGGATGCTGGCTCGATCGGTTAACCCCCTAGCACAGGTTCCACAGGAGCACCCTCACTACCTGGCTTCTACTCACTAACTCCCCCCTTGCCCCCGCAGCTGCTTCCAGAAACCACGTTCTTAGCCATCTCGAACTTTCCACCGGGAGGGCTTCATGACCAAATGCATGGACCACTTCCGGTCTGCACACCTAGAAGTTTCTCGAAGCTTCGAGCCACAGGTCCTCCACCCCCACAGGCACGGACGAAAGAAGGTATACCTACTTCCCCTTGAATACAATGGACTCACCAACCTCCCTTCAGTCCCTCGCAACAAAAGGCCAGTTCAGAGGACCATGAACCCTCCGGGGCATCTCACTTCCACAGCCAAACCCAATCGCCAAGCATAAACAGATAAGATACTTCCGTGAAGCGTGCGTACGGTTACAAACTCCCCCGTTAAATCAGGTAACTTCCGAAACACATGTGATGAAAGAAGTTTCTCTGATTTGATGACACTCTCACGTACGCCCTTCACGTACCAAATTACACTTAAGTTAAAATCAAACAATACAAGACTTCTTACACATATAATGGACCGTCCCCACGTTACAAATAAAATTTCACATGCTAAGATGATAATCCTTATAATCCTATCATTCTCCTAGGATTACTCCAGTTACATCAAGTGGGTAGCCTCGACACTCAGTGATTGACAGTCTTTGCTTCGGGAATCTCTCCGCTTACATCACAATAGCTCACTCACACTCCTATCGGTACCTGCCTTCTGATATTTCTAACCAACTATTATTTCCTCAGTAGGGCCAACGCCCACACCTACATTTAACTTTACACTCAATTTTCGGCGACGTCACTTTCAGCACATCTTCCTTACGCCTCTCAGGCCACTTATCTATCACCACTCACATTCTTGTTTCGATGATTTCACTTTTAGAACGTCTCTCTCCCTTCTTCCTTCCACTCTTTTATCTCTCTCCACTCACTCGCTCGACGATACTATTTTAATATTATCTTCCGTAATTTTCTTCTTCCGACGATACACTTTTAGGATATGGATAGAACTCGGTTCCCTTATCTGATGATAAACTTAGCTTCCCTATACTGAACTGATCTCAAATCACTGATGTTCTCAACAGATATTATTAGAGCTACCATACTGCGATTAAATGAGTAACCACAAGCACTACGGGGATTTCACCTTTCCCCTCCTCATCATACATTCATACCTCCAATCCTCATCCATTCTTCATGGGGACGCTCCACTCTTAACATTATAACAACAGATCATGTTTATTCCTTATACCTATCTTAACAGTTATTATCTTATTATGACTTCAATTCATCACCCAACGCCATGTGAATTTGTCAGAGGTATGGAATGGGGTTTTGTTAGGCGCGTCGGGGTTAATTTCATTAATCTCGGCCCTAGTTATTGTGCCCTTAGGCGCAATTTCGGCCGCAACGGCGCCTAATCTCGGTTTCCCGCCTGCCTTTCCTGATCATTCCTAGTCCGGTTAGCAGTTACCGTGGTGTCGTTCGAAGCAGCTGACTCCCTTCTGTCCCCGTTTCGGTCTGACATCGGGTGGCGGTGATTTCCGCGCTGGTCTCCATGTGTTCTCCAATCTCGATGATGGTTGTAGTTGCGGTGATCACGTGATGTATCCGGTCTCCTGTGGTAACGATTGTCATTCCACATGGTCTCCCGACTCCAGCCTCCTCTATCCTCATCTCGTGGATCTCGGCGAAATGACCGAGGATTGCTCTGCTGGTTATGACGCACCTGTCCCCTTGGTTCGAAATCCACCTGATCGTTTTCGAGGTCTGCGACGTCAGAAAGTAATGCCGCCGCCTCCTGAAGAGTTTGAGGTTTTGCTACTACCCAGGCCTTCTTTACCCCGAGGGGATAATGTTCTTTGAGGGCATTCAAGAATTCTAGGTTGGACATCGGAGGTTCTAGGTATTTAGCTTTCACAGCGTACTTCATAAGATGGTCACAGTAGTTCGCTGCGCCTCGCGGGTCGTATCTATCCTGATAGATCCGGAGTCGAACCCTTGCCTGACCTGAGAGGCTCCAGAATTTGTCCAGGAAAGCTCTGCGGAATCCCTCAAACGTTTTAATTTGATCCCAATTAGCATCAGCCCACGTCATGACTGAAATGCCTTTTAAAGATTGCCGCGCTACAGCTAACTGAAGCGGTGGAGGAATTTTCTTAATTTGTATGTATTCGCCTAAGGAATTCAAATGCGCCTGGGCGTTTTGGTCCGGTTTGTTTTCGAATATTGGTAATGTGAGTTCTACGGGGTGACTAAGGATCCCTCTGACAAATTCTCCAGGGTTGCCACTCCACACTTTCTCCTGACTATTGACGTCATTGTGAGGATTAGAACCGTTACATGAAACTTCATTACTTATTGGTTCATTAACATGAGTAATCATAATGTCTGAGCTTGAGAGGGTCTTTTCAATCCTCGAATCCGATTGGCGGTTATTAATCCCCATACATTGAACTCCTTCACAATTATTCTTACTTTCTACTCGTTTCTGATTTTTCATTAGCTCAACTTGGGTCCTCAATTCATCATATTGCTTACTGACAACATCATACTGCTTGCTAATATGTCCGCTAGCCTGTTCAATTTCCGCCACTCGTTTCTCGCATTGATTTACCCTCTCACACCTGTTCTCAGACTGCTTAGCCAGCTGAGCGTGAGATGCTGTCACTTCCTGTCTCAAGATTTCAAAATTGTTAGTAGTTTCAATTTTATCATTCTGCACTTTCTCGGTCAGTGCTCGAAACTGTCCGTTGGTGCTCTCTGTTATTAGGCTAATTTCCCTATTCATTGCTTCCATCTTCCGATCTGTCCTCAGTTCTACGTCACTCGCGATCTGATTCATGGATGACAGCATCTCGCGCTTGTGTACCACAAATATGTTCTGCAAACTTTCATTAAATTCTTTTGCTCTCCTTTCACCCTCCTTCCTAAATTCCTCTCTAATCTCCCGGAACATCTCCTTCATACATGACATTATTGTTTGCATATCTATTCGGTCGTCTTTCCCCTTTTTGTCATCACTCGTCAGTTGTTCTCCCCTACTCTCACTGATTCCACCTGTGTCCCCTTCTGTCGGTTGACCACACTGCATGTCCATTTCTCCTTCTGAATCTCCCCCACTCTCACATATAATTACGCCTTCTAACTGCGTCGCCTCCTTATCCATCATTTCACCTTCTTCACTATTGTCTCCGATTACCCTTTTGTTTCTCAAATATCTGCGANTTAGCGTTCAGAGTTCGGTCTTTATATCCTGAACTCTGAAATCAAAACGGAAGTGGGCCCAATTGACTTTCGTTACGTATTTGCAAGTAGAAACAAAATAGAATATTTTCCTTTTTATTTATTGCTAATTCAGTTAGGTAAAGCTATCCCTGTAACAGGCCGTGAAGGCCCATAGGGTTGTGAGACGTCGAGGCTCCCATATTTTCTCTAGATAATCGTCTCACACATAGCGTTCAGATTGTCAGCCTTATGCGCCGGCCGCCCTTTATACCTCAGGAAGATTCCTGGTACTCATTTCTGTTAGAGCTGAGTCGAACCCAAGGTCACAGTGCGGCTGGAAGGATTAGGTTAATTGAAATATCCACTTCATCAGGACTCTACACCCGTCCCCACACGCTTCACTTCGACGCGGTGTATGCCTCGACTAAATTCAGCGGAATGAGTCTTACATCCCAGGGGTACACGGGTGTTGGCTCGCTTACGTCGTTTTTTGGATGCGGGCTCGATCGGTTAACCCCCTAGCACAGGTTCCACAGGAACACCCTCACTACCTGGCCTCTACCCACTAACTCCTCGGCTTTCACTCACTGACTAACCGCTGACCCCCGCTGCTGCTTCCAGAAACCACGTTCTTAACCATCTCGAACTTTCCACTGGGAGGTTTTCATGACCAAATACACGGACCCCTTCCGGTCTGCACACCTTCTAGAAGTTCCTCGAATCTTCGATCCACAGGTCCTCCACCCCCACAGGCACGGACGAAAGAAGGTATACCTACTCCCCCTTGAATGCAATGGACTCACCAACCTCCCTTCTGTCCCTCGCGACAAAAGGCCAGTTCAGAGGACCATGATCCCTCCGGGGCATCTCATTCCTACAGCTAAACTTAACCGTTACTTACAAACAAATGAGACTTTCCGTGAAGGATGCGTACGGTTACAACTCGAATGTGCGACCTTCCTGCTTGTAGCATAGTACCCCCTTCACAGGAGAACAAAACATACTCAGCGACGTCCAAAGCGTAGCGAATGTCTCCAAACAGACCCCTTCAAGTTACCGCCCCTTCAGCTAACTCCAGAAGATTGCTCGCGATCACCGGTACCCACGAAGCCGGCCAACAACTCGCCAGCTAGTTGGTCCTTATTTGTGTATTTTGTTACAGCCAGGAGGCGCTGGTGGGTGTGGGTGGGGTGGGAACTAATGAGGAGTCTCAACCCGGCAGCAGCAGAACCCTTAACCGCTCTCCAAGCGGAGACGACAAGTTCTGGGTACCTCCCAACCTCAAGCGACAAGCCAGCGTTTGCCACAGCGAAAATGCGGACACTTCAGGAGGTAAGTTTCTAGTGCTCGAAATTCATTGTCCTTAGATAAACAATGAACCTTCCTCTTCATTTACATAAAATGTAGCCAAAATACACGGCGTCTGCCCAGTTTCACCTTAAAATAAGCTTTACTGAAATAATGTAATAGCTCACGTATCTTGAATGAGCTCTTCTTGATACTTCTGTTTCTGTGTATTGGATTAAACTCCTGCACGATCTTCAGTCAACTCTGTATACAATGTAAATAATAATAATAATAAGACACTTTAAACTGTAAAATGGCGCATTAATTATTAGAAATAAACAGGCATTCCTGCTGATCATAGTGGCCTCGCAGTCTAAGGCGTGAAATGCCTTCGTCAGCTCGAATACTGCGATCTTGGGTTCGAATCCCACTAGACGCACGGATATATCTTTGTGTTAGTGTTCTGTGTAGGTAGCGGCCTTGAAATGGACGGAGAGTCCTGCCGACTGTGTATAAGATCTAAATTTCTGAATTAACTCTGAATGAGCACAGGGCACAGACCATAATCCGTCAAGGCAGTAGAAGAAGAAACACGTATTCCTTCTTGTATCAGTAAGTATAGGTTCTAAATGTGAAATTATGTGACAGCGCATTAGATCGCTTTATACAGCGTGCCTTAACAATGGCCATAGAACAGACACTCTGCAGACAGGCTGGGAAGAGTTGTTTCCTATTATGTATGGATGCATACAGGGTGTTTCACGACTTTAGGGCATAACTGCAGGAGGTGATTTCCTATGTCTTTGTGATAAAAAAATTCATATAAACATGTGTCCGATTTTGGACGGTTACGGAGTTATGACCGTTTTAAACTCAGAATAGAAGGTAACGATTACTGACAATAAACGGAACAAAATAATAAACCAGCATAATACATGATACATTTAAATCATGAATGTAAAGTTAACTTCGTGAAATTACCTTTAATTTGAATTTATTGGTGCTTAAAGCTGATTTTCGAAAATGCCACCGCCGGCCGCAAGACAGGCTGCCGCTCGGTTGTGAACCGCGCCGGACATACCAACCCACCCCGCCTTAGGTACCTCTCAAGTGTCGAGATAACGAGAACGCACTGTCTGTAGCTGGCTAAAAATAGCGACCTGCCAGCTGACAGACGCGGTTCACACAAGGGCGTGTACGGGAATGAAATAAACGGTCATAACTCCGTAACCGTCCAAAATCGGACACATGTTTATATGAACTTTTTTGATCACAAAGACCTAGGAAATCACCTCCTGCAGTTATGCCCTAAAGTTGTGAAACACCCTGTATAGACGAGAACAAAGTTTTTTTATCTCTTTCGTTTTCCTACAACAGGCAATTGTTCCGGTGTCGCTAGTAGTGCGCCATAAGATCACTAACACTGAAGGGGGAAAAACAGGTTTTGCTTTCCCTTTGAAGATCTCTGATGTTTTGCTCTGAATCACTTGTGTGTGTTGCGTTGCTTACGTGGCGCAGGTTTCCTTATCATCTTACGAGTCAGTGCAGGGATGTGGTTAGATCTACCGCTCGACTAGGTACGCAAACTCCTTTCTTCTGTACATGCGCCGACTTCGAAAAAGTACGAGAGAAATGCCAGCCTGTTAGTATGCCAGGTCGTACAGTTGCTTCTCCACATGAGACGAAGTTCAGATCACGATTTGCCGCTGTGTTGTATGTAGTGGCACTTTGCCATTGTGGTCCAAATGGACCATCTCCTAAAGTGTTTCCTTGTTCTTGTTCCAGACGATTCTGTACCAGGCACACCAAACACTCCTCTTGGATACGCGGTAACTTCTCCGTTCACACAGCAGCAACCGCCCCAAACAGAACAGACGAACAGCAGTGGGACTTCCGCTGGAGCCCTCGCGGCTGCTATAGGTGGAGCGCCCCTTGCTCTGCCCCTGGCGCGTAGCGACAAATATGTCGTTCTCTCCACAACCAACCCTACGCGTCCTCGTGTCTCCTCTATGCACACAAAGCTGGATCATACCAAGATAGACACGTCGCTCTACCAGAAGGTATGCCACACAGCTATGTAGATACTGTTGTAACCGAAATGTGTGTTGCATAATCGGTAATCCTCCTAACCGGACCAGAACCGACTTCACGTGATCGTGTCTCTCTCTATGCATATATATATATATATATATATATATATATATATATAGACTGACCAATTTATTATTTATTTTTATTTTCTGTGTTCTGTTGTGTTATCGAGGTATTGGGTCCGTCCACACAACAGCAAAGTAAATTAATTCTAATTTCAATGGAATCAATTAAAATAAATAAAATATATTAACGGTTTAATACATTTTATTGTATACTTCACCACTGTATGTTTCGGTCGCATGGACGATCATCAGGTAGGTTGTAAATAATTAAAAAAAATCATCGTTATTCAAGGCTTGTGTATCAGATTTGGCGCCTGTATGGCTGTGGTGTGGGTTCAGAGGCTGTATTCTTTTTATTTGTAAATGTATTGTCTGTGGCAGCAGTTTCAGCTTCCATTCACAAGCAAGAATTTTATGGAAAGTAATTTGCAGGAATTCTTCCCACGAAAACCTCTATGGATTACAATACCGCCAAGCCTCTTCATACACACACATACATATATTATATACTAGTATGTGGGTTAAGTTTTAATGGTGGTGGAGAAGGGAAATTTATGCCACGCGGTACTAACAAATGAAGATCGCCATATTCTCTACGTTTCTGTTGCGTGCGTAGAAATGGCGGTCTAACACGTGGTACTTCTCTGTTTAGGGTGAACAGAGCAGTGCTATGAGCAGTCCCTTAACCGTTTCCCTATTTCGTTTTACCACTGAAACTAACAATGTTTTATGTTGTCACGTGTAGGATGATGCCCGTGACGAAACAGCGGGTTCTAGTTCGGATTACTGGATTTATTAGCACTTTGGTTACAACCGCTCTTAATCACACATAAATACAGGAACAGCTGCTACAGCTGATTTACACACTTTCCAGTTCACCGCTGCACACGCACTAGGATTCCGTCTTCACTGGTCGTCTCCTGGCAACGGGTCTCAACCCAGAAACTATAACAGTCTCACTGGATCACACAGTCCCAATATCACTGTACTACTGCACACATAAAGTCTTCTAATTCACATGCCGACCTCCTGTACTCTGCTGTACTCCTAGTTTCTTTCTCGGATCCTAGTCCCTTGGGACTCGCCACCATATTTTACTGTCTCAGATTTGAGACTTCCCTTTTCGTCGCCTCCTACGACTCGCAGGGTCACGGTGGAGATCTGAATTCATTTCTCTTATAAGCCTTCGGCATATACCACATAGAAAACACAGCCTCTATTGTTGTAACGCTTTCACCGAATTATTGCATAGCAACGATCGCTGCACGGACTCCATAGAAAACCAGTCACGTGATAGCTATCTTGCCAGCCCATTGGCGAGCTGACTATTGCCTAGCAACGATCTATAAACATCTGTCCTTCTGTTGAGCGCGCTTAAGCAATGACATGTTTATCACGCGGTTCCATAGCTATACACATTACATTATGTATTTACATCAGTGTTTTATGCGCACGATGTGTTGGATGCTGTGCGTCCAAAAGACTCTTAAAAAGAAATGGAGAGTGTCTATTGCTACCCGATATCATCCAAATCCTAGGAGGAGAACAGTCTGTGACTCTGAGATGTCTATGAAGATGGTTGTCTTTTGGGATTTGACGCCTCTTGGTTTTACTAGCTGGTTGATCGGAAACATTGGTACGTATCTGCTTCGATATCGCCGTCCTGACCTGTAGGCATCTGGACAATGGACTTTGTTGCATGACAATGCGAGACCACACACAGCTCTAAGTGTCACAGATTTCTCGCTAAACACAGCGTTACTGTGCTTCAGCATCCCTCGTACTACCCTAACCTCTCTCCGTGCGATTTTCTTCTGTTTCCACGACTGAGAAAGGACTGCGACATGAGAATCTCAAGGCCATTCATGCGATTGCAACAACGGAGCTCACAGCCATTCCGAAAGAGGCGTTCACAGCTGCTTCCAGGACTTGCCGAAACGCCGACAACAGTGTATTGGCTGCGGACGGGACAGGAACCATTAGTTAATAAGTTGAATTTTGTATTTGTTACAGACTCAGTCTCAAAGATTGTACATGGCGTCCTCCCCAAGAAACCCATGACCTGAATATTCAGCATCGTGAAAGCCTCAAATTTCGTAGGATTCATAGGGTTTTTAAAGACGTTGCTCGACTACGGAGATTATACAGAGTGTGAATAAATATATGTTACAACGCTCTGTGGGTTCAATCTGATCATATTTTGTTAAGACACCCGTGTCCGGAAACGCTTTGTTTACGCACTAGGGCCTCTGAAATGTGAAGGAGGACGCCTGTACCTCTTACCTCTGTGGCTTACTGGTGACATTTACCTAGCATTTCTCCAAGAGACCTTGCCCGAGCTGCTGGAAGTGGTGCCTTTGGAAGTCCGCCGTGAAATGTGGTTCCAGTATGATGGTGCTCCGGTACACGGCATTAGTGTCGTCTGGAGTATTTGGATGAAACTTTTGGCAACAGAAGGATTGGACGCGGAGGCCCCCTCGCTCCTCTGACTTGACTCCACTGGATTTCTTTCTCTGGGGGTGCATGCAAAGCCTGGTGTACGAGACTCCAGTGGAGACACAACATGATCTTGTGGCAAGAATTGCAGTAGCAGCTGGAATAACCCGGGAAATGCAGGGATCTTTCACAGAGCTCAGCATAACATGGCCAGGAGGTGCAGAACATGCAATGAATTCGGCGGCCGCCGTTTTGAGCAACTTTTATAATGTAAAACAACCATCACATACCCTAAAACATATGCATCCACTAGAAAACTTGTTTGTGTCCCTTAGTGCCGAAAGGAAGTGTTTCCGGACATACGATCAGATTGAACCCATCTATCTACCACAGAGCGTTGTAACACATTTATTTATACCCTGTATACTATCGAATGGGATGATATAGATAAGAAATGGGGAGTAGGTAACGATTTGAAATGAGATGTGACCTATTTGTAAATACTATCGCAGTGTTCGTCTGGACGGGACTAACTCACGAGGAACCTCATTCAGCATTGCTGGTAACCCGACGGAGGTTCAAACCAGGATACGATATAAAAGTCTAAGATATTCTTAAATTGTAGAAAACACAGATATGTATGATAAAATATTCTGCACTAATATGGCCAAAGATAGGATGTGGTGGTGGATTTTGCTTTAGTGCAAATTACACTTCCTGTAGCAAATAACACAGAGTTTTGAATAATTCAATTCCTTGTTAATCCTTTCCGTTTTCCTGCAGACACTACCAAAGTGTAAATATTTGTCAGAAAACACCTTTGCTAGAAAATTAAATATAATTTCCTTGTATATAATAACCAGTATGAGCTGTATGAGCCCTTTCCTTATGTTGCTAGTAGGTATGCCTATATCAGTGAGCCAGGTATAAATATTCTGTGAAAAGTATTTCGTGTGTGTATGCATGATTACCATAAATACTATATACACACAAATACGTACTAATGTGAGAAATTTATATTGCATTAGTTCGTTTACTTATTTTATTTATTTTTAAACCAACAATTTAAGCATGACCTCAAAGAGATCTGCTATTTACCAAGAGTGTAAATTCTCATTTACAAATTTATGAATATTTTCTTATTGCTAGTGGGGTGGGACTAAGTCCCTTGTACTGCGGCCACTTCTGGCCTATTGTACCAGCCCCAGATGATAGATGAGGGTGATTGTGGAGCAATTGGTAGAATGAAGATTGGCAAGGGAAAACTAAGTACTCGGAGAAAACCTGCCCCAGCGCCACTTTGTCCACCACAAATCCCATTTGACCAGACCCGGGATCGAACCTGGGCCGCCACGGTGAGAAGCCAGCGACTAACCGCTTGAGCTATGGCGCGGCCTTAATTTATGAGTAGGTTGCTGTCCGATACACTGGCTCACTTTCTCCTTTCGCACATTTATTTGTACGAGAAAGACAGAGATGACTGAAATGGTAAAGAACAAGGAAACGGCTCAAATGGGGTAAGAAATTCAAAGAGGAAAATGATGATGATCAGACGATGAGAAGTATTATTATGATGACTTGTGTACGAAAGGATGCAATAAAGTTTGATTATGATGACATTTAAATACATTGTTATTATTATTATTATTATTATTATTATTATTATTATTATTAATTTGTGACGTCAAAAGTATGATTATGTTTTGCAATAAGGACATTCCGAAATTATTACTAGTATCATGACTTGGCGATGATAATGATGAAACTCTGTTTTCGATGGAGATAAGCGACGAGAATGATGATTATGAATTGTCATAAAGAACGTGTCAAAAGTAGGATTATGGTAAAGATTTGTGACGAAATTGAGTAGTAAGTATGATTGTTACGAATATTTGTGATTGTGATGACGGAAGTGACCGCCTCTGTGGCCTAGAGGTCAGAGATCCCGGGTTCGATTCCTGGCGCTACCAGATTTTCTGAGAAGCAGTGGGTCTGGAACGGGGTCCACTCAACCTCGTGATGATAATTGAAGGACTATTTCAAGGATACAGCGGCTCCGGTCTAGAAAACTGAGGTTAACGGCCGCGGGTAACCGTTGCGCTGACCACACGACACCCTCTGTCCGCAAATGTTGGTACCAACTTCGCCGACAAGCGGCGGTCGCTCACTCGGTATAGTTCGCTTGCGGACTAAAACCACGGAGTTTTTTGTATTTTTTTTCCATTTACACTTGTGTGCGTCTTTGTACTTATAGTATCATATTTTCGTGTTTGCAGGCCCCGCCGTCACGAACACCCAGCTTGCCAGAAGACCTGCGTGGCTCCATCCAACTGACGCTGACCTACGATGCTGCCGCTGGTATCCTCACAGTTAGACTGATAGAGGTGAGACCGTCAGATACTCAAATCACCAGGTTCAGTAAAATAGTATTATATTGCTCTAATATGAAACCTCACGTCAAAATATTGTCACAATTTATGTGTGACTACAGACGAAGTTCGGATTGGTGACTCGATTTATTCACCACTTACACACACAGACTAGAGTCCTCGGTCTATTACAGACTCCACTAGCCACTAACATCAGAGTTTTAGTTAAGTTGGTTTATAGGTAGTTACAGCATTTTGTTATATTCTGAATTATTATGAACATATTGTCACATGATATGGAATGACCATAGACGGGGTTTGGATTGATAATCGGATTTATTGAACACTTACAAATCGTAACTACAAGTAACTATAGCGCCATCGGTAATTCACAGTCTACAGTTCACCACAGCACGTACTAAGTCCTCTCAGTCTGTTGTGCCTTCACCAGTGGACGTTTCCCTGCTCCCGGGCTCACGTTCTAGCGAGCTGGCGGTCATCACACACCAGTCTCATGCTCCTCTAACTGCGGTCTCAAGACCTCCTCTCCTTATATGGTCTCGGCACTAACGGCACAGGAAACATTACTCCATTGTTGCGTATTATACAGCCGTTACCTAGCAATGGCTGTTTATCTGACTCCACAGTTCTTGCTTTGAGGAAATATGCCACCTTATACTTGTGCAGCATCTACTATGCAGAAGAATATACAGGGATACTATAAATGATTCATTCGTTTTTAAAACGCTATATTTTCCGAAGTATAGCACATACAAATATGATTAATATATAAAAAGAACCGTAAACTCACTATGTTTGTATTATCTGCACCAGTTGGCAGCACGAGTTCAGTTCCTTTACAAAATGGCGACAAAGCAAGAAAAGAGTGTTTGTTGGAATATGCGAGATGTTCGTCTGTTATAGCAGTGCAACGCGCATTCAAAAGAGAGTATGGAAAAGAACCGCCATGTAAACAAAGCATTTTGCGGTGGTATCGGCAATGTTCGTCGCTACCTAAACAGTGAACTTCGGCATCGCTGGATGGGGCGTTTTGGTGAGGATGGCGTAGCTCTGCTCACTTGACCCCCCAGATCACCTGATCTAACGCCTTGTGACTTCTTCCTTTGAGGGTACATTAAGGATCGTGTTTACGTACCCCCACTGCCAAGAACACTAGTAGAGCTGAGGGAACGCATCGATGCTGCAGTGATGACCATTGACAGGATGATGCTACAAAATGTGTGGAACGAGCTCGACTACCGCCTGGACGTGTGTCTTGTGACCCAAGGGGCACACGTAGAACATTTGTAGAGTGTGAAGAAAATCTGGCGAGTTTACGGTTCTTTTTATATATTAGTCATATTTGTACGTATAATGCTTTGGAAAATATAGCTTTTTAAAAACGAATGAATCATATATAGTAGCCCTGTATTATATCATCACGTAGTACGTATGTGACTATAGACGGGGTTTCGATTAGTGAATTTATTTATTGCACACGCGATTCGGAACCACAAGCAATTACAGGGCCATTGCTAATCCCCACAATTCAAAAATCAACACAGCACCTGCTAAGCATTTTCCAGTCTGATATGTCTTCACCAGTCGTTCCCTACCAGCGGCTTCTAACAGTGTAGGTGATGTTGCAGCGTCCAAGATTCAAACTCGGGCCCTCCAAAAAGCCACTAACTAGACCGGTTACATATAACATTACCCTGAAGAAAGGCAGTAAACTCACGTATGATATGCTACAATATAGCCCAATTTTATAACCGAGATAGGAAATAAACTTCCTGTTTTTAATTTAAAACAATCAGGTCACATTTTATCACTGTCTATGTTCCAGTTAATCTCTAGGTAGTGAATGTAAATAAAATTTTTTCCATTTGAAACAGGGAAGCGTCAAAGATATTAAATAAATGAATGCCATTTCAGAATAATTTATTTTGTGTTTAAAAGAGTTAAACAGACACACGTCTTATCTTTCTAGTTTTATTTTCGCTTTCTTTGCTCACTTTCTTTCGTGCTCGTTTCCTTCTTTCCGTCTATTGCTATTTTGCTTCCTCCTTTCTTCTCGTCTCTCTGCAGACTTTCGGCACAATAAACCCGAAGAATAAATGAAACAGCAACTGACATACTAACGCGGTGTATACCCCTCCTACGAGTAGCTCGCCGCACGAAACACAAGATCCCATTCGTCACTCGAAATTACCTATCCTCTGTCCTTGAGCATCCAAGCTGAATTATTACCCACATTTTGCCGTTAATCTTAAGTCTAGCCACGACGAAATGGAAGTCACAAGATCTGTAATTTATCAATGAAACCACGTACTTAACTGCCGGAGAAAAACCATGTTCTTCTGCAATGTTTGATACCATTGCAATTTATTGATAACTAGAATAATATTTAATCGCTGCACATTATATGAGGTATGCCGTCTTTCAATGTATTATAGCGAATTTTTTAACTGTCGCAGAAATTCACACTTCATGCCCTGGAAAATATTTGCTATTTCTTTGAATGAACATTTGTATGAGATATAAGGCAGTTGTGAAACTCTGTGGCCTCTAGTCCACAAGTGAACTATACCGACAGAGCGACCGCCGCTTGTCGGCTAAGTTAGTGATAACTTTAGCGGATAGAGGGTGTCGCGTGGTCAGCGCAACGAATCCCCACGGCCGTTAATCTCAGTTTTCTAGCCCGGAGCCGCTATTTCCTTGAAATAGCTCCTCGGTTATCCCCATGAAGCCGAGTGGACCCCGTTCCAGAACCACTACTTCTCAGAAAATCTGGTAGCCGGGAATCGAACCCGGGACCTCTTGATCTGTAGCCAGGAACTCTGACCACTAGACCACAGAGGCGGTCTTAACGCAGTTGTAATCTCAATAAATTTAGAGAAACTTCAGCTTTGAAACTTATTAATCAATTTCGAGGTATTTTCTTTTTTGTTACCTGAAAAAGTCCACTATTCATGAACCTGATCCTACTCGATTCGAAGTTCAAACATTGTTTACGTCTCATAGGATTTTCTTGGCGTAACTCTCCCACATCGCAGGATATTATGAGGAAGAAAAATTTAGCGAAATCTAGTTCCAAACTAATTTGGTGTTGTATACTCTTATGTGAGATATAACCTATAGCAGGCATGTCCAACGCGTCGATCGCGATCGACCGGTCGATCACGGAACGATTTTTGGTCGATCTCATAGGCCTATAAGGAAATTATACGTGAAAAGCATGTAAATTCGCTTGTAATATAATATGATTATATTCAGATTTTGAAGGGAAAATACATGTTAAAGTAGTCTGTACTTTCAGTGTATCCTTAATTGTTTCTTGCATCTTGTTGTGTATTTAATCAATATTAGAGTCAATTTTACCGACCACACAATATATTTTTTATTATTATTACACTACATGTTTCGCCCTCAAGAGGTCATCCTCAGGTGTACGAACACAGTTGTATGTATGTTGTTTTTACAACATACATCATGTGTTGTGTTATTTTTACCAATATTTTTGGTTAAAACGAGGTACGACGATAGGAGGGGGTGGTAGATCACTGGCAGTTTTGACACCAAGAAGGCGATCACAACCTGTTTGAAGTTTGGCATGCCTGACCTACAGAATGTGTTGTACTCGTACATAAATCGGATTTCAGCCCCTTCCGCTACATTTGTCTGATATCAACCATGTTTATTCCCTTCTTTTTATTAAAACGTTAATGACTAATTATTTGTTCTTTGGTTCATCCCAAATGTATAAAGGGCCATTAGTGTATAGTTTGAAATTAAGAAAGATAATAGAAGAAATTTCGTTTCATTAACCTTCTTGAATAAGAGTAAGATGAGAAAGCACTAATACCCCCTAATATATTTCAGTGTTAGCACTTCAGAATGTTGGCTCTTTCATGCTGTCGTTTCTAAGGTAGAAATATACGGTATATCTGTCTGATTTCCCATGGAATTTCGAGATGTCCATTGTTGAAAAGTCACAAATAGTCTACCTGAAAATCAGGAAGTTGTCAGTCAATGACACTATTTAATAACAAATATATTTAAAGCTGAAAACGATCGTGTTTCAGAACTAGGCATCTCGTCTTTAGTATTAAAAGCATTAACATCTATGCATATGAAATTTAATGAATGTAACAACGCTCACCTGAGCAGTCATTAACCTACATACATGTCTATATGCTGTCTCGCTTGAACTCCGCTGTGTTGGTTGTTGCATTTCAATGCTACGAGTATAATGGAACCATTCACTGAAGCTCTGTAAGGAACGCTGAAGGTTTCCATTCAATTTTCAACAGAGACGCACTAGTGTTATTTGCGGTAAGACATTTGCCTGCAGTATTTATTTGCTTAAGAGCCGGGATAGCTCAGTTGGTATAGAGACGGGCTGGAAGTTCCGAGGGATGGGAGTTCGAGTCCCAGCAGAATCAAGAATTTTCTCTTCTTCACGTCGTCCAGACTGACTCTGGGGCCCAACCAGCCTCCTACCCAATGGGTACAGGGGGCTCTTTCCTTGGAGGTAAAGCGACCGAGGTTTGAAGCTGAAAACTCATCTCCAATTAGTGTCGAGGTCAAGAAAACATGGATCTACACATCCACTCCCCCATACGTCTTCATGGCATAATGCTTAATTAGTTAAGCACAGGCACAACTTAAATTTATTTACTTAGCCATGTTACTTATTTATGGTTTACTAAACGATGTTGTCAAAAGCTTAGTCTATTTAGCGTCGAACAATAAGATATTTCGTGAAAATGGAATTATAAAGTACGCAAAATGAAGCGGCCTTGGCATAATTTGGGATACTCTCTCGGCATTTGCCTGGAATGGTTGACGAAAACCGCCAAAAGTCTCAGTCAGAATTGTTGAGATTCGAATCCGGGAGCTTACGAACACGAAGCAAGAGTTCTAACCAATCTTATTACGGCATTTTTTATTCTGTTGTGCAGTGGGAATTCTTATAGCATCATAACTAGTCTCCACCAGGATTCACTCTCCGAATTGCTCTCTTAAAAGGAGATTCATGTCCAGCGTATTCCTTCAATGACGTCATAGACGTCTGCTTTCAAAATAATAGACTTCCATAAATCTGCTTTTAAGAGATTCGGACCGACTATCCCACTGCTGTGCTCAGTTCACAACACGCGAACATTCATGGGATACCACAGGAAATGCATAGCCATATAAGGAAAAGCAGATGTAACTTCTTGAAATGCCCCTATGAATTGTTCTCTCTCACATTAGAACATCCCAATTCGTGTAGCTGCTGCAGCTGTTCCTGTCCACGTTTTGAAGTGGCACAGGCCCTTTTAACCAATACCAGAATGTGAAGTGTGCAGAAACTTGAGCATAATTGGTGCGGGTTCTCACTGGGCTGGACTCGATTTCTGGTTGGATTTTGGAATTGGTTTTCAAACAGGTTTAGTGGCATGGCGCTGTCCTCAGGTTACAGCTGTAGGAGATTGCCTCCAGATACAGGAGTTAGCTGCGAATACGCTTAAGGAGGAATCGTTAACGACCGAAGAGCAGTGATCTGTCATCTTGGGCATGTTGATTGTTACTTACAAGAGCCTCTTAAAGCGACTTTAAGTCTCAGAATTTGCGCATACCGAGATCTAGTAAGCGTCCCTTACAAAGTCGCAGAGTGGACAACTGTTCTGTTTACACACTTTAAAATCTCTGCGAAACGAAACCTTCGTTCATCCCCCCCCCCTCTAAATTACAACCACCATCAAATCAACCCATTAATTACAATGCTACCTGAGACATATGCAAAATGACTTTTAACGCGCTCTTAAATCTCATTAATACCCTTTATGTAAACAGAGATTTTGAAATATTATATGTCAGCATCCTGTTGCATTGGGTGATCATTTTTTGCAAGTACAAAAATACAAAATCTAGGTACACAAAGGTAACAGTAAAGATAGAATCATCATACATTACAGAGAAACGGCTGCAATACAAAAGATAGGAAGAAAAACATCCTATGACGTCAAAATTAATGACAACAACGATGACATACCTTAAGAATACTATTGACCAAGTGCACAGTGGAGTAAACTCAGGATGAAGATGGCCCTATGCGGCTGAAAAATGTATCATAAACACTTAATGTACATATTCTAATGACATTTTAAATATTTAACGAACATTTAGTGAATTAAATGTGATTTAGTGTAATTTATAATTTAAATTTACATCCTTGCATTATAGATGGAAAACAAGACTGCAATAAAAAGGGAGTTTGAAATGTTACACAGGGCTTGACATATGCATGAATTACATGATATCACCCAAGCAACAGAAAAGGCGAAAACAAAGTCTGTTAAATTCCATGGATGTAATGTTTGTAATCCAAACAATTATGTGCAGAGATGTGAAAGAAAAGAATATGCCCACTGCATTGAATTACTTTTCCCTTTTTCAGGCACATGATCTGCAGGCACGAGATTTTAGTGGTACAGCTGACCCTTATGCCAAGATCCGACTCTTACCTGACAGAAGTAACGTCTGGCAAACTCGCATCCATAAGAGAACCCTCAATCCAGGTTTGTAAGCATATGTTTGTTTGATGACAGATTCAGACATTGCTATAAGAAACTGCCCATTATTTGTAGGCCTATGTAAAATGCATTGCTGCTGAGTTGTTACCTGGCAGTCATTGTTGTTAGTGTAGTTACAAATGGACTGAAAGACAGCAGCCATGATTGGCAAGGACCGGTTTCTATGTTTCTGTCAGAATGGCAGTCTCAACCTTTGCACAGAAAGTTATCTTCTTTCATAGTACAGCCAGATCTAGCAAGTTATCTTTTCAGAAATTTCCAAATTTACAGCATCCATAATCTTTGAAACCGTGATTTTGAAGAGCCCCTCAAAGTCTGTAATATACACATCTAAATGTAACAGATATTCCACCTGAGTTCCTTGACACCACCGTGCAATTCAGATATAATTTATAAATACAAACCAACTCAAATATCATTATGTATTATGTAGAATCTCAGCTCTCTTTAAATAGCCTCATTTTGCCACTTCTCTAATTTTATTTGGTATTTTACTGTATAATTTAATTCCCATACTCAGTTCACCTTTCTTGAAAGCATTCATTCTAAAAAATTGAATATAGAAATTCAACTTTTAGTGTGTGTTATGATTATGAACTGCAGCATTTTGTTCCATTTTTCTATGTGCAGTTTTATATGGTATATTACTTCAGGGTGTGTGTGTGTGTGTGTGCGTGTGCGTGTGCATGTGCATGTGTGTGTGCGTTTGTGCATGCACGTGTCCTGAGAAAGGTACAGATGACAAGGGCTTCTGTTATGTGTTTGTTCCCCCTCTGGCCTATATCAGCCAGCCCAAAGAGCTTTCTGCTAGCAAAGGTTATTAAGTGATTATCACTGTCATCACTTTTGTGAACAGAATGGTTTGGCAGCACAAGGGTAATATAGATAAGTATGCTGTAGTGTGAAGTTTAACAGCTCCAGGGAGATGTAGAGCTGTGTGTAAAGCTGTAAAGTTAGGAGGAATATTGTGCAGTGCCAAATGTTACAAAGATACATGGACATTTTTGTGTACAGAAACTGGCCATTTCACCTATCCTAAACTTGTAGTTATGAGCTGAGAATTATTAGCTATAAAACGTGATTTATTTTATTTAAATATTCTCTGATATTTACTTGAACAGAACTTCAGATTTCCATCATTTCAGGGGTCTTCCTTAACAACTTTTTCTGTTGATAGATTTTGAAATCTTTCTTGGAATCCTGTCAGAGCTCATTCTGTTAACATATTCTTTCAGTTTTCATTGAATCCCTAATGTTAGGCATTATTTATATGGTATTCATTACTGAAAATTCCACTGGATCTATTAAGGTGTAAGCATTATGAATTTAACAGCTCCAAAGATGTGAAACCTAACAATAAATATTTACTTGCAGTGTTTGATGAAGACTTTGTGTTCGAGGTACAACCTGCAACCTTAGGTCGCCGTACTCTAGAAGTCATCCTGTATGATTTTGATGCTTATTCGCGACACCACAGCATTGGTGGGGTCAAACTTCCTCTAGCCCATTTTGATTCCTCCGAGAAAGTTACCTTGTGGAAGGGGCTGGGCCCCTGCTCTGAACAGGATGCTAGGGTCAGTAATATTGATTTATTTGTCTGCTTTATTTTGGATTCCTCACTGCATTGTTTATGTCTCACTTTTATTGTTCCACTTCATTTTCTTGTTCACTGAAAGTTTGTGATGGTGGCTGATTCGTTACACTGCAATTGTGTTGAGTGTAATGAACACATTTTAATTTTTTACGTATTGAAAATTTCATTGATTTTAACATGGGAAACATAGTCATAAATTAGAATGACTAGTTCAGTGATAATTACTCTATGAAGCTTGTTTAGATCATGTGTTGAGTTCATAGGTGTGTTAAGCAGGTTTGCTGAGGTAAGAGGTGCTGAGAAAGAGGCAGGCGCTCTCTACCAGTCAAGAATCTAGAGGATTATTGCAAGATGCAAAAGGCGACATTCTAAATTCATGTGTTAAATGAAGCTGCAGACCAGCCAGCATGGTGACAATTGTTGAAATACTGCTGTCAGTGTATAAGAATGATTCAATGCTGTGAGAACCTCAGATATAATAAAAAGAGTACTTAGAAATAGGCCACCTTTCAGAAACTTACCTGTAACCTCTACAGATTGAATGACATTACTAAATAACCCAAAAAACAATCAGTACTCATAACTAGCTATAGAAACTGAAAGAAAATTAAATGGTACATTTCATTAACAGCTCTCAAATCCTTAAGTATCCTCTTGTTGTCTGAAAGTATGGGATTATAAATCCCTCAGGACTAATGGCCTGATGGCCATATTTAACGCAAGGGTAATGGTGTTAGTACCGCAATGCATAACTGGCTGGAATGTTCATTCATTCATTCATTCATTCATTCATTCTTTTATTAATCCTGTAGATCATGATACAATGATATAGGACAAGTCTTTCAGCTAATATACATTATTAAATTACAACAATCTTAATACTAAAAAATTATATAAGATATTCAACATTTTATACATTATATACTATATACTTCTGCTTATATCAGTAGCCAATATTCAAGAATTCATTGTTCAAATAGTCCTCCGTTGAGTAATAGCACCTCTGAATAAGTAACTTCTTCAATTCCCTTGTGAACTGATTTTTGTTTTCTATTTCCTTTATGTTGTCACTTTCATCAATGCACTTATCTGTGTATTGCAGGCTGAGCTTGGTGATCTGATGGTGTCATTGGGCTACTTACCATCAGCTGAGCGCCTCACTGTAGTAGTTATTAAAGCACGTAACCTGCGTGTCGTTGATGACACACGCACTTCCTCAGGTATGTTATTACTATGCAGTATATCTTGGTGACCGCTAATTACCTGCAATTCTCATTGATTTGGTAGGTTGTACCAATGCATTGGAGGAATATATTACCTTCATCTTGAGGACAGAATATGGAGCAGTAGTTCTTCCAAAATGCTGCTACCTGCCTATTAGATTACACAATTTATATAACCTAGAAAACCACAGTATGAATCTTCACCTCCTCGAAAACCTCAAATCTCAGTGGAACCCTCAACATCTCACAACCCTATGGGCCTTCACGCCCTGGTACAGGGATAGCTTTACTTTACTGTATATGAAGTATTCTAAATAGGAAGTGTGAATTGTGAACACTTTTTAACTTAATACATTCTTTGAAGTGTGTAGAAGTCCCCGTTCCCAAGTGTGTAGTTCACTTCATAAGATTCTTAGAATTTCTGTAAAATTAATCGTAACATATGCAAAATTATATGGCATAAGTGAGATGAGCATGATAAGTAATGAGGTCTATTCACAATTATGGATATACATTCTGAAACCATAAATGCAAACTGTATTAATATTGAGTTATACTATAAGAAGATAATTATTTATACCTTGTACAAACTCTGGATGACTTCGAAAGTTTGCCCAATTGAATAACCAACACAGAATATAAAGAAAATTATTAAAATGCACGTTTGGGAATTCAGTCCTAGAAGTATCAATGCTTGGAATGGTAGCTGTTAGCTCTTAAGACACTTTAAATATTTCAAGTACAAAAAAGAGGTCTGGCTCTAAGTAGCCTGCAGGTCCTCATGTCTTTACCTATTTGGGGTCCTGACTGAAACAAATACTATAGGCAAGTGGCCTGTATTAGCAGACACAACATGGAGGTACTTTGCTATATCTTGGCAAAGAGACTGTTGAATTTTTATGGTTCAACTGTAACCTGAAAACTAAGCTAATTTTTTTTGTGGTTTATTTTGTGAATATGTCAGTGAATAGTAGGATTATTGCTGAATAATCAATTGGAAAGCATTTTGAAAGAAACGGCCATGGCCTAATATGAATTTGGCTGGAGGGACTGAAGAAAGACACGAAAAACTTCAACCTGGATATTCGGTGCCCCAGGCAAGATTCAAACCAAGCACCTCCTGAATGTTACAGTTACACTCTCCTGATTGGTAAAGCCCTATGTAAACTGGAATTTAACCCATTAAATAAATATGAAATATGAAACAATCTGTATCTGTTAATATCTTGATATTCATTTATTGCTGGTCTACACTTATTGTTGATATAACTAATCAACAAGCTTTCTGTAACTAATTAACTAATTCCATGGAGAAGAAATCTTCTTCAGAAACTGATAATTGCACAGCTGGTCAAGAAATTTCCCACATTCTGTGGAACCCAAAGATTCATTATCATGATCATAAACGCACACAATGAATCCCTGCCTTGAGCCAGATGAATCCAGTCCACACTCTTTCACCCAGTTTCTTTAATATCCATTGTAATATTATTTAACAGGGACATAAAACATTTTACTTTGAATTTTACCAAATGTTAACCACCCTGAAAAAGTCTCAAACAAAAGTACAGTTCTCGATGAGGCGTATGTGTTACATTATATACAATTCTTTTATATGGCTTCAGATTTTAGAGTTCTTTCTGTGAGTTACTTAATGCTTTTTCACTACCAGGACTGACAGATGAATGATTAGTTGAAAATGACTTGGAAGTAAGCATTCATAGCCTAATTCAGGTACTGTCACAGCATTTGGCTGGACGGTTTGAGGAAAATCATGAAAACCTTAATCAGGACAATAAGCATCCCAGTCAGGATTCGACCCATGCACCTATTCTAGAGCATTATCTTTAGACCAACCTGTTCAATTTAGGAAAGGTGCAGTAGAGTATATGTCATCTGATGGTAGGATGACTGATGAATGATGAATTGGAAAGGATTTGGAAGGAAACTGTCATGGTCCAATTTTCCTTAAACAGTTGTTAGAGTTATAGAAATTTTCTGAAGATATAACAATGCCCATTCCTTGAGATTACAGAAATTTCCCATAGATGTCAGATATGTTCAGGGTCACAATTCATGGCAAAACTGTTCAGCACTAAACCAACGGCTCAGACTGATCCTGTGTCACTGTCATCAACACTCCCTTCTCTTTGTATATACAAATAAATCCCAGGCTACATTAAATCAACTTTTGAATGTTGTATTACACAAACTGTTTTGTTTTACTGTGCAGATCCATTTGTGAAGGTGGCATTAATGCAGGGAGGAAAACGTGTGAAGAAGAAAAAGACGGGAGTTCATCGCAACACATTGTGTCCTGTGTTCAATGAGGCACTAACATTTGATGTGAATCGTGAAGCTCTGAGACGGAGTACAATCGAGTTTTGTGTGATGCATGATAGTCTTTTGGGCCCCAGTGAACTGTTGGGGCGTGCTGTTGTTGGCCCTGGTTCTGAATGCCGTCCCCAAGAGAGAGACTTCTTCCATGAAGTTCTCACCAGCAAAACAGCCACTGCTCAGTGGTTGCCATTATCAGAACCACAGTGAAGATATCTGCCAAAATTTTTCAAAATCATTCTTTGGCATAGGAGTTCCTATCTGAATGATGATGCTGTATTGTGAAGTGGACAAGTCAAACATACTCTTTACATTTCATAATACTAACTTATACTATGCTATCCTATCCCAGGCACTACATGTCAACTTGCGTTCTGAACTCATGTCATTCAAAATCAACTCAGATCATAAAAAATTAAAGAATTTTGTTCCTGTGGAAGTACTAGGATTATTTATTCAAAATAAAACACTAGCTATCTGTGTCATTAAGTAGTCTTGGGGTATGATGTCTAGCAAAATTCATTGGAGTCTGTATTTCTGCTGGTATTAAAAGAACAGAACTTTGCATGTGGGAATATCAGGTCTCCAGCACAGTTTGAAGTCTGTGTTAAAAGTGCTGAATTGGAGAACAGTAACTAGACCATCATTAACATGGAAGGCTGGAACCATTGGTATACTACACAAACCAAAGAAAAATTATATTTACAGTATTTATTACAGACTAATCATTGTGTATATAAGAAATTACTTGAAATTAGATAATTGTCCATTAACTGTCATCCCTCCCAGTCTATCTTCCTTTCATATACATTTACATAATTTTTGTGAAATGCATCCCTACATTAATAATATAATATTCAAATAACGAATGTTAAACTTTTACTTCTATCGCCATTTAAGGCCCTTTTAAGAAAAGCAGAATTGAATGATTGCTTACATTACTGATGTGTAAAGAAAATGAGTAATTTAAAACAGCACAAATTTTCCAATTGACATCAGATGTGTTTCAGAGCTATTCAAGTGTAGTAAAATCATATCAGTTGTTGTGAACTATGCTATAAGTGCTGCTTCCTGAGTATCAGTGGCAGCTTGTGATGATCTGAACAGGCAGGGCCAAGACAATGTAAAATTTACTCCAAACCCACCCTGCCTTCCCCATCCCAAAATGCCTATAATTAAGAAAAGAAAGAAAAATGTGTGTTATTTAAATGTTTGCATTTTAAGAGTTTATTTTTTATGTTAAAAAGTAACTCTTTGTTTAGCAAATGCAGGCTTAGTTTGTGTTTACAAGCACATTTTAAACAAAGGTTCCATGCTGTCTGTGACATGTCCAAAAACCTTCTTGGTAAAAATGCAATGCCCCCTTGGGTAAGGGAGGGTTTCAGACCCACTAAGCCCATCTCTGCTTTCTAATTCCCATGCACTGACTGTACAGATAGAGAGGCAGATTCCGAGTGACTCTCAATGAGGTTTTCGATAGGATACTCAATGTAGACACATGTCTACATTTTACAGATATATATCTCTCTCTCTCACACACACACACACACACACAAATACATGCATGCACACAAAAAATTCTCTCTCTCTCTCTCTAATGTCCTCAGTACATTACAATCTCCACTAGCCATTGCCTAGTAACGGCTTCAACGCCAGACTTTCCCCTTACTCTGGGTTCCTGAACCATCCCCATGCCTCTCTAACAGTAACAGCTCATGACAAGTGAATTGCAGTTCTCTAACTCTCAGGCTGGCAGCCATGTCATACCAACCTCCTAGTCTCCTCATCACAGACTCACTGAATTACACATCAAAATATCACTGTAACTAACTTCTCCATCTTCACTAGACAATTCCTGGTAACAGGTTTTAACACAGCCCACTGATGTCCTTACCATCTGCACACATCCCACCACTGGACTAAACTCTAAACTTGTCCAATTGAGAACCCATAGGCATGTAAAAGGTAAAAAAGGTAAAATTATCCTGTAACACGCCATGAAGGCCCATAGGGTTGTGAGACATTGAGGTTGCCACATTTTCTCTAGACAATCAGCTCATAGATGGTGGTAAGGTTGTCAGCCTTATGCGCTGGCCGCCCTTTCATTCATTTATCAGTAATCTGTCAGATGACAGATCCACAGTCTCTTCCAGAACAGTTCCTCCACTTAAAGCGATCTTCTGTTTTTGGAAAGAGACTATCCAGGAAAAGTGATAATGTGGTAGTTTTTCCATTTGCTTTCCACATCACAGTACAACAGCTGTTCAAACCACCCTGGTCACGCCTGTTGCTATACAAACTTGAACCATCTCGAGCATCATTTGCTCTGTGCTTCAAGTCGCTGCTGATGACGCTGCTTCCGGTATCAGTTTCTGAGTTTTGGTGTCTCTTCGTCTGATGCCTACCCTTTGACATGTCCAGCAAGGGAGGCCCTGCCAGTAGCTACGCTACCGCTGGTATAGCTCTCAGGGTCTTTGGCATACTCAAACCCCCTCACCACGATAAGATGGAGACACCGAGGGGGTAAAAAAACCGGGACAGTGCAAACGCAGTCCCGACTACCAAAAATTACATACCCGAGTTACCCACATTTGGGGCAGTTGCAGGGGTCAACCAAACCATAGTGCAATGGAAAGGTCTCACCCTAGGGGAACCGCCTTCAGGATCACGGTAACCCCTACGCCCTCTGGAAAATTCTGGTACTCATTTCTATTAGAGGCTGAGTCGATCTTAGGGCCATAGTGCAGCTGGAAGGATTAGGTCAATTGAAAAAAAATATCCACCTCATTGGGACTTGAACCCCTTTCGGCTTTATCATAGTGCCTCAACCAACTGCTACCACATAACCCCTAAGCATGACACTTATCAAGTGCCATAAGCTAATTTAAAGGAACTTCCATTAAAAGGTAAACTAAGGCTAAGGCCTGTGAAGCAGCATCCTACATATATTTCTTCCAACCTAAGCAACTTCTCTGGAGATGTCCAAAAAACTTTCTATGCCATACAAAATGGAAACAAATTATAAATCTAACAAACTAATTTTCATACAAAATAATTACAAATTTATCAAACTTCACTTCATACATTGAGGCAGTAGATGTTCTTGGGGCCCAACCCCTCCAGCCCTTAGGGAAATGCAATCCATAAAATGGAGTGATGCAACCACAGGTGTAACCGCAGGATGGTAAGCATGCTGTAACTATGGAACACAGACTTTAAAGGATTCTGATGATGGTGTATGCTGTACAGAATTATAAGATTTATTTTGGACTCTATCCATCGTCTGGTATACATAAGACAAAAAAACACAACATTTCAGAGACTGGATGTCTCCATCCTCAGGTCAATGGGCAAGATAGACCTACTCAGCTGGGCCTGTTAGAAAGAGTGAGACTAGCTCTTTCTAATGGGCCCAACTGAGTAGGTCTCTCTTGCCCATCAACCTGAGGATGGAGACATCCAGTCTCCAAAACGTTGTGGTTTTTTGTCTTATGTATACCATACGATGGATAGAGTCCAAAATAAACCTTATAGTTCTGTTGGGAACACAGTGTTTAATTGCCTGATGGCAACCCTTTGTATAGCAGTTATATCAGTTGGACCACAATTTTACAAACAAAACTCAAAAGCAAAATTATTGACATTGACAATCCAGCCATTTAGAGCTTCAAATCATGCAAATTTAAATAATAATAATCATCACAACCCATTAAAATTTCCTCTTCCATACATCTTTATCCTCCAGCAGTCACTCCTCTTGTATTAAGTGTCCACTCTTTTCCCACTCTCTTTTATACATCTCCCCTCCTGCTCTGTGAACTTTGTCCTTGGTATCCCTATGAATGCCAACCTAAAATCCTAACATTTATGCTCTCTAGACAGTCCTATTGTCATCCCTATATAAATGATGTTCATTCCACTTTTTCATAATTTCATCTGATCTCATATTGTCATTACTTTTACAGCTTATTTTGGTTTCTTAACATTTTATCACAATTTCAACCATTCTTTTTAACCTGCATACATCTATTTAACTCCACAGCAAAGATTCTTGCCCGTATGTCAAAATGGGCAACTAATATGTGGCATTCTAAGCTCCTTGCTAAATAGAACTGGGGGTATTACTGCAGCTCAACAGAAACTAATTAAAATCTGTGCTGGAACTACTAATGAGTCACCATTACCTGATATGACATATGTGATTATTTGATGATCCTACTTGTAGCAGGTATCACTGCTCTAGTGAAACTGAACTATCATTAACAATTAAATAAAATTTCCTGATCTAAATTTTCTGTGTAATTTCATCTTGGATTGTTCCATTTCACGAACTTTTGCTACCAGAATAAGAAAACATTTCAACTTGTACGTCACTGGGTTATCAACAAGGCCTTGGTTACCATTAGTAAACACAGGTGGTCTGTAGTGAAATGAACAGTAACAAAATGAGATTGGTAATTAAAAAATAGAATGGAATCGCCAAGAGCATTAGATAATGCAGATTATGCTTTCATATTCCTATGTTATTTTTTTAAAAATCCATCCGCTCATATACTGGCATACAAAATAAACTTTATACAAGTGATTAAGGTTTTCCTTTAACTTTGAGAGGCAAGCAAATATTCCCATAACTCTACAAGAGGATCACCTATAGAAATGTAATCTTGTCTGAACTCTTGAATGTTCATTGAAGAGTCCAACTTTTAAACATACATCAGAAAAGTATACATGACACATTTAATCTGAGATCATATTTATTGATATTCAGGAATGTTGCTTCATATAAATTTAAAGGATAATAAATTGAGTCAAGCCTGTTGTCCACAAATTTCTCTTGTGGCTATAGTACAAAAGCTGTCAAACTGTGACTGAACCCAAGGCAGAAATGTTGATGTGTTGCAAGTCAAATATGTATGCTAAAATGACAGTTTATAACATACTGTGATTCTTGATGTACCTTCACAACATTGAATATAATAACTTGGAATAAATTATGCATAATATGTATAATAACACTATGTTTCTATGTCTTTATTGTAATGGTCAATCTGTAAATGAAACTGTTGGAACAATATCTGTAATTATACTATTTTCAACTACATAATTTTTCTTCAATTCTTCTGGGGTAAGTAATGGGCAAAAAATGTTTAAAAGATATGGAGAAAAATGTATATCCTCTGATTAATCCTAAACATGAGGGATTTCTGAAAATGAAAACTTGTGTCGTAAACAGAAATTGAAAAGAAGCCAGCATTTACATTCTTTAAACAAGTTTTATTTCCCTTTGGCATTCCCTACTAATATGGTACTCATAACTGTTTGGTATCATCATGCATCCATTGGCACTTGTGCACATTGCTTATTTTGTTTGCGTTGCAGTGTCACTTTAGGTAAATACTTTTGTCTCTCTGTTAATCTCTTATTAGAGCCCATTATGTAAAGGAAATTCATGCCTTTGTTAATTTGCTTCTTGGATATATGTTCAACCCTTCTGGATAGAACAGATCTATCAACATTGAAATGGCTGTTTCTTGTTATGACATGGGCTCCACCGCAATACCACTCAGGAACATAACACTGCTGTGAATATTCATTAAATGATTCACAAATAAACAGTTACTAAGTTTTATGGAGCATGTGGTAGCATAGTAAGTTGAGCCACTATGCTACAAGCTGTAAGATCATGGGTTTGGTTCCTGATGAGGTCAATTGATTTTTCATTTGACCTAATCCTTCTAGCTGCACTATGGTCCTGGGGTCGATGCAGCCTTTAAAAGAATGAGTACCAGGAATCTTCCTAGAAATAAAGGGCAGCTGGTGTGTAAGGCTGGCAACCTCACCATCTGTGAGCTGATTGTCTAGAAAATGTGGGTGCCTCAGTGTCTCAAAACCCTATGGGCCTCCATGGCCTATTACAGGGACAGCTTTACTTTTTTTAACCTAATTAAGTTTTATTGAAAAATAATGAAGTTTGCTAATATAAATATACTTTTTCTTTTATTCCACTTACCTACCACACTGTACCATAACAGTACCTCCTCTAATCCTTGCCAGTCAGAACTCACAGATTTTTTTGACAGTCCCAAATATATTTGTAATTTCTAGTGTCCCTATAAAATATTTTTGAAATGGTCAGTTCTTTTCAGATTTCATTTCATTAACTTTTAAGTTCTTTGTTATCAAATTTTAACATTTATTTGCTCATTGAATATCACCCTCTTATATTTGAGTCTTATAATGATTGGCTCAAACATTCAGTTCAGGAGCATACTGAATATGGTTTAATACTTAAGCTTAATTTATGTTATGGTCCTTCGTGAGAAAATAATAATGCAGATGGTCAAGAAATATACAAGTATTGTATTATGTTTATGTGTATTACAACACACAGCTTCGCCTTACTCTTCCTCTTACCAGGGGGCACATGATAGCATAGTTAGTTGAGGCATTATGCTACAACCATTGGTTCAATTCCCAGTGATGTTATTAGATTTTTCAATTGCCCCAACCCTTCCAGCAGCACTATGGCCCTGGGGTCGACTCAGCTTCTAACAGAAATGAGTACCAGGAATTTTCCTGGGGGTAAAGGGCAGACAGCACATAGGGATGACAATCTCAGTGTCATTTCTGAGCTCATTGTCTAGAAAACGTGAGAACCTCAACATCTAACAATCCTATGTGCCTCGAAGGCATGTTATAGGGATAGCTTTATCTCTTACCTTCCTCTTTCCAGATGAAGTTTTATTCACATACATCACTTTCTCAAGAGTATAGCCATTTGCATTAAAACTGAAAATGTCAATTTTTTTATTCATTTTGTGGTTAACAAAGTCAGGACCACAGAAGTGTTAACTGCTGCCCCAGAGACATGAAGTTCCCTCTTCCCATCCACAATGAAACTGGTGTAACTTTGTCAAAACTTTGCCACAGTTAATATAACATACCATTATTAGATATTGTGACAAAAATGTCAATGGTATCATAATTCTTACTTACTTACTCATGGAGCTGAGCCCTCCTGGAAGTGCCGCCAATTCTGTAGCTATTCAACAATTTCTCAGCATTTTATGGAACCTGAAGGTTCATTACCGTGTTCACAAGAGCCCTCCTCTGGTCCCTATACTGAGCCAGATCTATCCAATGAATTAGTAAAAAAAATTAATGGGTTTGTAAAATAGTGTTGCCTGGAGACCACATGGTTTGCCTGCGCTGTTGTGTTAGTCATGAACGCACCTCACTATTAAACTCAAAATATCTCAGTCTTGCCAGTGTTCACACTGTTGCATAGTTTTGTCATCATCTCTCATGGTATGGGTGGTGGTGGTAGCAGCAACAGCAGCAGTAGTAGTAATGGTAGCAGTAGCAGTAGATTTTGGATGACAGGCTATGATTGGTGCAATCCCCATCCTGACAAGGACATTGACATGTTTCCATTTAGTTGATGCCCAAAATAGGACCCTACAAAATGGACATTAAAGAGTGATGTTCACTTCACTTCACTTCACTTTATTTTAAATTCCATAGATCCTTTTCAGGTCATGCATGCCATAGGATATAGAACATGTCAAAATACATAAACACATACATAAAATATTCAAATATGATCAATTTTATGCAGATATATGATTATCGTCACCATCATAAATCAATACAAAAGACCTATTCATAATATAGAAGTTTGATGCAATTATTTCGATCACATAACTACAAATACTTAATTAAACAGTCCAAATATAGTACATTTCATCAGGATTTAAAAATTAGAATGAACAATAAAAATTCAGTATATACAATCAGTCATTTCATAGCAAGAACCTTAACATTTGAAAACTATATATTAACATACAGGATAAAAGGAAATGAGCTGTGAGTAAACCATTTATTTATTTATATATTTATTTCGTCTCTATTGATCATTGATACACGATATAGGACAAGTCAGTTACGGTACATTGGCTGATTACAATAAGAGAATGAAGTTACATTACTTACAATTATTTACAATAGATTGCAGTAGATTACAATAGTTAAGAGTTTGTATAGTGTGAGGTGGAATCCATATTAGGTCCCCTTGGCACGTCGGCTTCCATGTGTCCTATTGTACCTGTACTGGTGATATTGCTTATGGAGAATTTGATGGAATGAGGATTGGCAGGGGAAACCGAAGTACTCGGACAAAACCTGCCCCAGCACCACTTTGTCCATCACAAATCCCATTTGACTAGACCGCAGCGGTGGGAAGCCAGCGACTAACAGCTTAATCTATGGCGCGGCCTTTGAGATAATTCATGACCATCTTAATTGTATACAGTCATATGTTATTTAAAACAGATGGTCTATTACAATACCATACTACCATAAAATTTATACCCTTAAATGCCGAGTGACTAGTCAGTGGGTAATACATCATGTGTAAAATCAACCTAACAAGCAATTCATGAGAATATCTGGATTACAAACCTTTGTCTTCTTTATATTTGTTTATAGAGTAAAAAGAATGATGACATAAAAACCTCTTTAATGTAAATTTAAAGCTTTTCTCATCATTGACCAAAATCTTTATTGATCATGGAAGATGACTGAACACTTTAATACCTGTTATATAGGCTCCTTTATTAAATTTTGAAGTATTCACACTAGGTATATGTAAATTACCTTGGCATCTAGTTATATATTCATGAATCTCGTTATTAAAGTTAAATAAATGTTTATTATTGATTATATATAAAAGTAGTGAGTATATAGTGGGAATATAATGTCATAATTTCCAATTTCTTGAAAATATCCCTGCAAGAATCTCTAGGTTTAGTGTTCATTACCCAGGGCAGGACACTGATATGCCTCTGCTGTAATACTATGCATGGAGCTTTAATTACATCACTTTGACTTCATGGTGTGCAGCTTACTGTGGGCTGTGGGCCACAGCGTAATATAACTGGACATAAGAAGAGACTTTAAACAGGTACTCCCCCCCCCCCCTCCAACAGGGGATTTACTGCAGCCTTTTTGTGAAGTGTATCACCTTCAAGGTATTTTTCAGTCCTTATATCTACTTAAATAAGTTAAATATCAGGCTCTCACAGCAATAACTTCAAATGAAGAATACTGTCTTGTGGGATGCGACGCCTTGTAGCCCGCTAAAAGTTTACAAACATTTCTGATGACCATACTGCATCCATTTTACGGGCTGCAGTGTAAACCACTGAAATCTGTCAGCAAAGAGCTAGCGTCAACCTTTGCATTGCTCCTCACTACTTGCTTGACTTTCTTCAACCCTAAAGAAGCAGTCAGTAGGTTTCTCCGAAACGTCAATGAACTACCGCATACAACAAACAACACTACCTGGCATTACACCTAACAATATTGCATTTTTCTCATTTCAGTACGTTTTGTTGGTTGGTTGTGGTTGGTAACAATAAACTACGGTTACGATAGTTCTTCAATTAGAACACGTTCGAGAACTCGAGAATTCGAGGTAAATGTGTGAGGAAAACCAAGTAGTATTAAATCTTATATTTATGTAATTCTGCAGCATTTTCCATGGAAACGAATGCTTGTAATATATATGTGACTAGGTAACATTAATATAACTTTGCGTGCTTTGTGGCTCCATAATTATTTACGGCAAAAGCCAGTGTAAACTATTGTAACCAGCTTCGCTGTCACATCGGTAATCGTGGTCAATCAATTGCGAGTGACCATGGCTAACGTGGTTACCATGGTGCGTAGGAAGTAAATAGGTGATAATGTCGTAGATAACACCGTTTAACGGAATTAATTTTTATTATAATGCAATAAATATGCAGTCTGAAGATGCGAGGTATTTAAAAAGGTAAGTAGTACAGTGTTGATATGTAAGAGTTGTACGAAAAAAAAAAGTCAGAGAACGGATACAATTTTGGGGAGGGTCAGGTGAAACATACGCAGACGTTAACCCCCTAGAGAGAATTCTTGTTAAGTCTTTTAAATATGTTATGCACAGTTACGTAATGAGTAAAAGATGAATTTGTCCCTTTGCGTAATTAATTTAGCGTTATACCATGAAGACATGGGGGAGTGGAGGTATACCTCCCACATTCTTGACGTTCTTGACCTAACTAGATGGAGGTGAATGGTCAGCTCCACATCCTGGCCGCTTTACCCTAGAGGAAATCGACCCCCGGTGCCCATTGGATAGGAGTTACATAATGAGTACGACAATAAAATTTAACTTATTGTATATAAAATTTAAGGTGGTTAGCACCAAAAGTGTTGCAGTTTAAAGGTCACATTGTGTCAAAATATGATGATTCATTTCCGTTGACATTTCATTACAGCTACCTTAAGCGATTTTATATTTAGTATGTTATATGTAGGACACAGTATGGCAATATGCGTTCATTCATACATTGGTTCATTTGTCTATTTACCCAGTCGATTCATATTCAATTTATATTCGTTGGTAGAACCAACCAGACTATGCAACGTCACATCCTGGAAGATGTATTCTTTGTAGTAACCAGCATAAGAACCCAAAACCACACTAAGATATTGGATATTCCATAAATATTCTAATAAATTAAATTGACCCGGATGAAAGAAATATACAATTGAGACAGTTTCAAATATAATATTGTAACGTGTTTTGTTACTGAAACTTGTTGGTAATGTGTGTAAGTCCAATCCCACTTCTGACACCACTGCAACGTGTTTAGTTACTGAAGACGCCATTCGGATTGTTAATTGGTTTATTTAACAACCTACAAGTCGTAACTACATTTGATTATAACACTGTTGTAGGGTTTCACAATTTATAACCCTATTCGCAATAATCTCTTCACACTGTTGCGGGGTTTCACGCAGTATTTAGTAGATTGTGCATATTGTGACATGATTGTATTAATAAGCATCAGAAATCAATATGAGTAAAATCCTTAGTTATATACTTAATAAAATAGTAGCATTCTTTAATAAGAAGCTAGTTAGCTAGTTTAGAAGAGGCAGTTAATTTTCACTCTTCTCCCTCTTCCTTACTTGCTCAGCATACTCCTCAGACCTAAAGATGGAGACATTACTTTCCCCAAGAACATCAGCAAACTTCTGCCAGACTACACAGTGTCACATCCAAGGTGACTGTATTTTTCATTATCACAAGAAAATTCTTCATGTGCGTAAATACTGCATGAGAGGAATATAAACACTTTTTATAGAACTGTGGAAGCTGTTGCCTCTTATATTGTGTTGCTGCAAAATATGGCTATCAGACATCCATTGTAGCCAGTAATGTAATTTAATACAATAGAATCAAATATAATAATATTCATAAATGTCAGAAATTGATAAGACAGCAGGAAAAGTACTAAACCCAGTGCTTTTCTTCAGCCAGCACGCATGCCAGCAAGAATTTCCAAAATCTGCAATCTATCTATCTATCTATCTATCTTAATGAAGTCATGAGTCTGCCTGTGTATTGTGTGGTTCACTCTTTGTGTAAAACCAAGTTTAGTTTAGTTTAGTTTAGTTTATTGTAAAATTCCATCGATCCAATCTAGGCTACAGATACACCTGATGGATATAAAACCAGTCACAGACAAGTAACTAAACTACACATGCTATGAAAAAAGCATAGGTCAGATCAAACAATAAACCAAAGTGTTTATCTTCCTACTTTAACATTAAACATAACAACGTCTTAAATTTAATATTGTAAAAAAATCATCATACCAAAAGGTAGATGATAACATATTTATGCCAAAATAAAACACCTATGATACATAAAATCTTAAAAATTCACATTAAAATTAGTAATTACTATTAAAAAAATCATTCAGTGAATAAAAAGAATTCAATAGAAGGTAATTTTTAGAGTATTTTTAAATTGATTCTTATTAGTCTATTTTTTATGCAAGGAGGTAAGTGATTAAATGCCTTTATACCCATATAATAAATACCATTTTTATAGATAGACAACCTTGGTTGTGAGGGGTAAAAATTATTTTTACCTCTGGTGTTGACATCATATAACTCTGAATACAGCAAGAGGGTGCCAGAAAATATGTTTTGAGGAAAGAGGTCTGGCTAAGCATCTTATTGATGTCCTTTTCTCCATAATATTGAATGTGGAAGCAGTAAGAAAATTCATATTTCCCTTGTTATATCAGCATTTATTTGAATTCATTGAAAATAACATTTAAACAATTAAGTTATTGATTTGCTTCATCCTGGTCCATCACACTAGCAATATTACAAAAGGTTAATCAACTCCATCCAGTGTGACTGATAAAATGTTTCTTCTTTCTTTCCTTTTTAATTTTCATCCTACAAGGACAGATATAACAATAAATAATAACTCATGCTACCCCAAAGAAAAAGAATTAGCAGAATATAAAAACTGGACACACAGACTTCTCACATTACCCCTTAAGTAGCAAAAACAAAGAATTAAATACTGTTATCAGTATAGCACTAAATAATGGTTATAGGCAGGAAGACAATTTAATTTGTATAAGAAATTCAAACAGTGGAAAAATAATCTGGAAAACAAAGCTGAAAAAGAACAAAAATGGGTCACATTTACCTATACAGGAAATTATATATGAAAAGTCACAAAACTATTCAAAAACACCAACATAAAGATAGCCTTCAAAACAACTTGCACCATAGGTAAATTAGTAAATGAAAAGCTAGGAACAAACCCTTACAAACAAAGTGTGATATACAAAATAGCCTGCTAGAGCCGTCAAAAAGTATACATTGGCCAAACCGGTAGAAATCTAACAACAAGCTATAAAGAACACATAAAAAACATGATTTAACAAAGACAAACCAGCTTTTGCCCAACATACACTAAATAAACACCACCAGTATGGACATATGACAGTAATCATGGAAATGATTGAGCATGCTAAAAAAGGGAACATCATGAACATAAAAGAAAACTTTTACATATATCACTTTAATAAACTTAATAAATTGATAGAAGAACAAAAAATTACAAGGGACATTGATAACCAGTATAGTATGTTCAGCGTCATAATAAAACATCAGTACGTGCCCACACAAATTTCACAAGGCACAAGGGCTATAAATACGCAACTCACCACGTGGTAGAACAGTATAACAACACAGCGCTGCCCGAAGAACAGGTTGACACTAAAGGTAGGATAAAATAACAAAAGCTCGCATTTAAATAATAAAAAAAAAAATCAGGATTATGGGAATAGTACATTATACCCATAATGTATTTGCAGAGTCCTATTCATCAAATGATGGAACCACAAGACGGTAGACACTCAGCGTCCTTTAGAGAAAGAAAATATAAAGGACATGAACCAGATTGGTTCTAAAAATTTTAACAAAGTCTTTTTAAACTACACTTGCAAACAGACTAATTGTAATAATTTATAAACATTTTAATATATTCATGCACGTCACTGTAGTTGTTAAAGGATCAATTTTATATTCATGGCATTGTAATGATATTGTATGTATGTATTGATATTGACCAAACTCATTGTAATAGTAGTTTCTGCCCATATTGATATATCCTTCTGAAGATGGTCTCTAAGAGCGAAATATGTCAAGAATGAACTATTACAAAGGAAAGAAAGAAACATTTTATCAGTCACATTGGACAGAGGTGATTAACCTTTGGTACTTTATAGAATTATAAATGTTATTGCTTTTTACCAAAACAAAGTTCTCAGCCTTTTAAATTTGCCCATTTTCGAAAGAAAAGCTTCCTTACCACTGATGTAGTTCTGTTATAGAGATTTCAGAATTCAGATAATGGGTTAGTTTCTGGTTCCTCTTAGTTACTACTTCAGATTATTTTAATTTGGTTTTAATCACAGTGTTCATAAATAAATATGTGCAGTCAGAATTACTTGGTTCTAGAAAATAGAAAACACTGGGCGATGGAAAAAGTCCAAAAATCCAGTAATTCTGAGTGTTATACACCATTGTCAAAACCCTTTAGAGCCAAATATGTGCATAATTACAGTACTGTAGACAGACTTTTAGTGTACAATTCTAGGCTAAAACATGAATATCAAGATCAGTAGTGTTTTCTGTAATGAATCTTATAGAAAACTAGCATATTATTCAGTAATTATATCTAATCTTGATAATAGTTACCATTGGTTTTCCTCAGTCACATGAACCTGTTGCTCAGGATATTTATACTGCTAGGTACTTATCACTGTGAGAGCCTTAAATCTTGTCTGTTCAGTGACATACTAATTTGCATGAATTATCTTCATTGGTTGTATCCTGTTGTGTGTTTCAGATATATATATATAGGAATTGCAAACCTAGGATGTGGAAATGGTCCCTTTGAGAATAGATATATCAAGATACATATACAAAATTACACGAGTCACATAATCAAAATCACTTACATTAATTGATTAACATAAATACTAATATAAAGTAAAAAATACAGTTTTATTTAAATTACCTATATTAACTGAATTAAATACATTACAAATTTACACACTTATGACCAATTATGTTGATAATATTCATTCATGGAATAAAAAGAATGATGATATAAAAACTTCTTCAATGTAGATTTAAAACTTCTCTCATCAATAGCCAACATTTTTATTGTTTGAGGAAGATGATTAAAAACGTTAATACCTGATATGTACACACCTTTATTGTATTTTGTTAGGTTAACTGAAGGTAAATATAAATTATTGAGGGCTCTAGTTTTGTGTTTGTGAATCTCATTGTTAAAATTAAATAAATGTGCATTATTAATTGTGTATAATAGTAACGTATATATGTACTGAGAGTAGAACGTCATTATTTCCAAATTCATGTATAAATATAATAATTTGTTTCCATTTCATGTTAATAGTGAACGCATTCACACCCTGGGACTTATGCTTAATTAATCTGATTTTTAGATTGTATTTGGGAAATCCTTGAATCAGACGTCATGGGTTGCAGTAACTGTTTTTACTTCCTGCAGTTTTTGTTGGCCATTTTAGTTAGACATGTGCCTGCATCTGGTGAGTCCATGACTGCAGGATCCCGAAATTACACAGTTATATTTACAATTCTGTTCAGTTTTGACATAATTATGGTATAAGAAAACAGCAAACCTGAGTAGCACGGTAACTTACAGAGTCTTCTTTGAGCTATTGATGAATGTTCAGATGGTCAAGAGGTACTCTGCTTTGTAGAACCTGGATGTTCATCACCATGTTCCTGAAAGCTTGCCATTGGACCCATCCATGAGTCTTCTGATTTCAGTGCACATCATCTTACATACCATTTCTTCGAAGTTTGTTTTCGTATTATCCTTCCATTTATGCCATGATCTCTCAAGTTATCCCATGAATTGAGTCTGCTGTGTAATTGAAGATAAAAACTGCATGTCATTGTTGATGAAATGAGTGAGTAGAACAAACTGGGCAAGGGAGATAAACTGTTTCTATATGAGAGATCCCATTTATAGCATGGAAAGTGTTAACCTTTACAGAGCCTTGAGTAGTGTTACTCCTTCCTCTCCAGTCCATTTCTTCAAGTGTTAAAAGTGAAAACATTCTGTTGCTTTGTGAGGTTTGAGGTTCGTATGGTAATGTCTGTGAAGAATACTGTCTTCTTGGATGTGTCACTGTGTAGTCTAGCAAAATATGGAGGGAATATGTTCCTCCAAAATGCGGTAAACTTCTACCAGACAACACAGCAGAAGGCAATACTCTTTCACTCTGTTACTTCTTACCGTCACTAGATTAGCATAAAGTGAAACTATTGAAGCCTGATATGTAACTCCAGCTTTTATTTAATGTGTGATTGCTCTCTGTGTGCAGGAAAATAAGATCTCGTTCAATCGATGTTCACCCAACAGAGAAAGCCCTGGTTGTAAATTATGAGTTGGAGGCCCTTATCCTTGGAGACTTGGGTGATCCATTACTTGGTGACCGTAAGGTAAGAAAATTAAATAAATTGTATGGGATACGTTAATTCACGAACATTAATACTTTCCCTTCTTTCTCTACCCAGGGTAGAGAATAAGAGGAAAATGGAAGAAACGTGTCACACTCCAGATATCACTGTACTACAGCACATATTAAGTTTTCACTGGATGACTTCTAATGTTCTCCAACTACTGGCTTCCTGTGGCTATATTCTACTGACAGCTGCCTGAACTCAAGTTGTATGTTACAACCGATGGTCAGTCAGCCAGTCTGTCATGGAATAAGGCCCACATCTTTGGCTTATGACCAGATTTTTATTACTCTCAGACAGTTGAGAGTTTGTTGATGTGGTGCAGTCTCTCTGATGAGAGGACAGGTCTGTCATTTACAATTGCTGCTGGTCCTCACCAGCACAGTCATTCTTGGGTCCAAGCCCTGTGATACTTTTGACCGTATTTTACTGTCTCAGATTCTAGACTTTCCTTTTCATCGCCTTCTGCTACTTGTAGGGCTACGGTTGAGGTATTCGACATCACCTCCACATGGGACCAACTGCCTAAACTAAACTACAGTGAATCTTACATCCTCTCGGCACGGGCCACGCACAGAGAACACAGCTGTTCTATTGTTGCATGCATATCTGTTGGGATTCCCTTGTGTTCACTACCCAGCCAGTCCATTGGTGTGCAGGCTGCTGCCAAGCAATAGAAAACACTCTTCCTGTTGTTGCATGAGCGTATTTCGGGGGCATGGCCTAGAGATGGATGTCTTTCTATTGTTGCGTGCCCGTTGGTCGCTGGGTGTTTACCAAGTCATTGCCTAGCAATGCTTAGAGCAAATCCGTCACAATGTAAATAAAAATAAATATTAAGGTAACAGCAAACAGCTTGATAGTTCAAGAAAGAAATGCCTACAGACTTCTAGTGGAAAAAGGAGCTGCTTCAAAGACAAAGATGGGGGATGATGGAATAATATTAAAATAATTCTTAAAGAAATCACTTATAAAGCATTTACCTGAACTGGTTGAGTGTATGGTCTGACAGTACTTCTCCAGAAATTGTTCTTGAATGTGATACATTCACTGCTCTTATCATTTCTTTATGAGCCAAGTTATTTTTCTGATGAATGTACTTTCTTGTACAGGATTCAGAGTCATTTCATTAATGCCAGGAAATGTATATTGTTAAATATAATTACAGAATAAATTACATGCAGTCAATGAATCAAATGAAAGATGTGATCACATACCAGGATATATTTTCCTTTCAGGAAAAATATTTAAGCAGTTTTAATCTGTAACACATGTACATGTATGGTCTGGTAAATTTGAAATTGCTCAATGTGTGGGTAAATTTGAAGATTTCCTGTGTGCAGGATTGTCAGAAGATAATACGCTTGAAGAGTCTGAATGAAGATACAAATTGTGCAGCATTAGCAAAAGAGGTGGTAGGGAAATGCAGCCTCATACATCCAAGCAAAGTAGAAGAGGTACAGCAGCTAATTTACTATTTGCAGAACAGGAAGGATGCCACATCTGGTTCCAGTGGTGAGTATATTAGGTAGATGTGCTGAAGTTTGTACTGGGATTGCAGATACCATTTTCTTTTCCATGTTTTGTGAAATGTTAGGAGAACCACAGAAGACATAACAAGGGAAAAAAGTTGCTAATGTTAAAGTAATGTAAAATCAGGAACTAAATATGATTTGAGGATGAATAGGTGGATATCTTTTATTGTAATTATAAGAATTGCATATGGATAAATTTATATGTATTCCATGGATCCGGTTTACTTAGGATGCACTACAAGTCAGTGTACAAATGAACACAATATGCAGGTTGTAGAACAAGCACAAGACACATGATGAACATAATTTTATATAAACAAGAAATTCCACAATAATTATCACAGTTTAATGTGCAGTGAGCAGACTGCTGTTAATAATGTAAGGTTACAAATTTTGGTAACAGTAAAAGGTGTGTGATGAAAGGAATTCTTGTAATACCCGTTCAAATCATTTGTAAACTGGCTCCTATTTTTTTCTGAGATCTTTGTTGTGCAGTGCATTCCCCAGTTGTCCTGTGGAAGTCATGTTTATGCCTAGTGTTCACTTTTCAAATCTCTGAATTTTATTGAAAAATTTTATATTTTTCATTCATAAAGGTTGTTAGAATGGTAATGAACCTACAGGTTCCATAAAATGCTAGGAAGTTCTTGAGTAACTGCAGATTTGGCTTCTCCTCAAGAAGGGCTCAGCTCCATAAGTATGTAAGAAGGTTGTTAAAACAAATATATACATAGAGACAAAAATTACTATGCAAAATCTCTAGAACATAGACCAATGACAGATGTTAAATTACATAGAAGTGTTATTTAAAAGTTCCAGCCATGGAACAAAGTGATTCATCCCGACCCAGTTCATCATGTTCGGGTACAGACAGCCCATCTTCTTCTACTGTCGCAGCTGAGAAAGCTAACATTAACAATATTGAAGGCTACGTGGAACTTCTGTATGAGAATATCCCCGAGAAAGTTGCAGGCTCTGCTCTGATCCTACAGCTGGCCAGGAATCCAGACAACCTTGAAGAATTAGGAAGTAATGGTATTGTGTGTAATACAGTTTATATTCTTGCTGTTTCAGTGTACAGCCAGAAGGATTGAATTTTGTGTTCCATAAATTGTTCATATTTTTTATTGAAGAGCTAATGGTAAAGTGAGAGACCTCAGACTGTAACACAAATTGAGATTGATTCCAATATGTGTAGAAAACTTCAAATTTCTTAAAGTTTGAAATATGTTGCACAATCTTTGTTAAATTTTTGGTGGTATGAAAACTATATGGTACAAATAATTAATTCTGAACCCTATATGAATTCATTATCTGTCACATCACTGAACTCTTGATGGCAGATATCCATGAAATTCATGATTAGTTTACTGATATTTCCATTAAAGTGGGTCTTTCTGTGCAGTCATATTTATTGTCTTGACATTAATCAAAGTGTATCTCTTTCACATCGTCATTGCTTCGTGATTTTGCCACTGTTCACATTCATCTGTAAACCTGTAATAGCAGCCACGCCTTATACTAGAATATCATTTGTCATGCAGCATCTGATAGCATAGTTGGTTGAGGTCATGGGATCAAATCCCGATGAGGTGGATTTTTTTTTTTTTCATTTTACCTAATCCTTCCAGCCACACTATGGCCCTGGGGTCGACTCAGCCTCTAACAGAAATGAGTATCAGGAATATTCTTGGAATATTCATGGGGGTAAAGGGTGGCTATCTTACGCAGTAACTTCCTTCTAAAAGAAGTTATTGAAGGAAAGATAGAGGGGCGGATAGAAGTGACCAGAAGACGAGAAAGAAGACGTAAGAAGATGCTGGATGACCTTGGGGACAGAAGAGGATATTCTCATTTGAAGGAGAAAGCTCTAGATCGCATTAAGTGGAGGAACTGTTTTGGAAGAGACTGTGGACCTGTCGTCTGACAGATTACTGATGAGTGAATGAATGAATGAATGAAAGAGTGACTGGCGCATAAGGCTGACAACCTTATCATCATCCATGAGCCAATTGTCTAGAAAATGTGGGAACCTCAACATCTCACAACCCTATGGTCCTCCACAGCCTGTTACAGGGATACCTTTACTTACTTACCATCTGATGCATTTGCAGTGTTTCTGTCTCCAGGTTTCCCAGTCATTGTCATAATTTAATGTTAACTTAGTGCTCACTGCAGTATATTTACCCACTTCAAAACCTTTCATGCCATGCACTTTTCTGGTGTCTGTCACAGTCACATGCTTAACAGCAGCTGAACAGTTTCTGTAATTGTGTACAGGGAATGTTCATCTCTTGACATGCACTTGCAGCCATAATGTTGCTGTGTTTGCTTCTGTCCCAGGACATTATGAAGCTACCATTATTTTTTCCTCTATCCTCTTCTAGCTGCTGTAGCACAGTGTATAGTTCAGGTATGTGCCACTGCTTCATTGGGTTATACACTGCAGGTAAATATTTTTCAGATGCTGTGTTGAGTGCCTTGTCACGAGTGCTACGAGAAGACTGGAAGAAGAGTATTGAACTGAGCACAAATATTGTGTACATCTTTTTCTGCTTCTCTACTTATAGTCAGTTTCACCATGTTATACTTCAATATAAGGTGAGATTGATGTAATATAGGGAGCTGGGATGGTGTAGTTGGCATAGCAACTGGCTATGGGATGGATAAGTAAGGGTTGGCATTCAAGTCCCAGTAGGGTCAAGAAATTTTTCCTCTCTGTGCCGTCCAGACTGGCTCTGGGGTCCACCCAACCTCCTATCCAGTGGGCACCATGGGCTTCTGGGGGTAAAGCAGCTGGGATGTGAAGCTGACCACTCACCTCCAACTAGTGCCAAGGTCAAGAAAATTTTAATCTATACATCCACTCCCCCACATTCCTTCATGGCACCGTGCTTAATTAGTTAAGCACAGAGACAGCTTTACCTTACCTTAAATATAATATATTTATTTGAACACAGGGTGCCATGGAATGAAGCAGATGGGTTGCCACATAGAGAGGTGTATGAAAGTACAGCCTGAAGTTCTATTTTCCGACCATCAGTTAAAGTATAGCTAACATATAAAAACACTATACCATAGCTCAGACAGTCACTGGCTGACAGAAGCCCAATTTCAATCCCAGGATAGTCTGTAACCACATTAACTGCGCCGCGCGTTGGAAGTCACTTCTCTGTAACCGCACTTCCCCCTCCCTCACCTTATACACTTGCTTCGCTCCACTATGGGGTTGGACTAAGGTGTACGCAGCTGCTCACAATATGTCGTCTAACAACGACTTCGAAGAATTGGGCACCAGCTCACGTTGGTGAACACATGATCTTTCTGAGGGTCGTTAAAATGGGGCTCCAACAACAGAGTCCACAAACCAAAACAACAGTATCACAAACACTTCAACGCATTATTATGATTCTTCACAATTTTACATGATTAACTATATTTGTGAGTCAGTATAGCCCTTTGTTGGCGGGGAGACTCTAAATACACGTCTTACATGTTTTGAAACTGGAACGCGTCTGTCTGACATAAAGGCTTGTATATTACATCAAGCGACTGCTAGGATGATGTCATGCATAGTGACTAGCAGTCCTGATTGGCTGTGGGTTCTCGGGGAAGTCCAGATTTAACTACTTGTGAAGCTTACATCACACATTCCCGAGCAAATGGGGAACCCCTAAATTATGAAACTCCAAATCATGCCACATTGCGTCATCTTCCACTCAATGTAGTCTATAGCGTAACATAATGCATAATGATATATTCTACGTAACAAATTAAAAAATTAATCAAACCATAAAAAATACTAAAATTTCTATTAAATGATGTTTACATATACATAAATACAGTGAAGTAGACTACTAGTAGTAGTAATCAGTTACAATTCTATTTGGGATTTGTGGTAGACAAACTGGCACTTGGACAGGTTTTTCTCCAAGCACTTTGGTTTCTTCCTGCTAATCATAATCCCACCAAATGTCCATATTCTTCTGTCTTGAGGAGCTGTTAAAGTAAACCCATTTGAAATTGCAGTACCGAAGTACTCAGTCTCACCCTACTCGTAAAATAGAAAAAAGTAGCATATCTGCTACCAAGCTCCTTAATATAGGACCACATGAAAATCTTGTTCTGCTTGCGTGAGGAGTTAAGTATTTTTTGGGATTCTGTTGTTCTGTGATACTTTCCGAACTTTAGAAGTTATCTGGCATCAAGTAAGAGATGGAAGTGTGGTATGTACAGTGAATTGGCAGGTTATGGCAGAACTGTGAACATCAAGAAAGCTGGTCCTTCGCTTGAATTCAAACAGAATGTTCCCGAACAGACAGCTCAGAGTTGTATTTTGGGTTCTCATTATGGTTACTGTGAAAATTTCTTCTGGGTTGTAATGCTGTATAATTCAGAGAGAGTTTGACATTCTGGAGGAACTTATTGCCTCCTCCTTCAAGGACAAAGATTAAGCCAAGCAAGACAGCAGAAGCAGGTGCCAACCTGAACTGCCTCCTACTGGCTTCGTGCTCATTCTCCAACCCTGAAGGTGGAGGTGACATGTTCTTCTGAAACATGTGTTGACTTTCAACAGACTACACAGCATTATAGCCCAGAAGATCAGACTCTTCATAACCATCGATGTGAGGACCTCAAATCCTTCGTCCAGAAACTCTGGTGCAATACTTGTCCATCATTCCAATAGCCTTGGCCATTGTACTTATTGGCAAGTGTGTGGTGTTGTTAATGTCTTCAGATGTTCTTTGTTAGGTTTATGGTAGGTAGTACAAAACTGACGTTAATGTTACATTTATATGCATATTAAATGTGTCCAGCCAGGATTGTGGCATGCAGTAGTGTAGTCGGTTGGGCACTATGCTATGAGCCGGAAGGTCACAGGTTCGATTCCTGATGAGGTTATTGGATTTTTTTTTTTTTTTCAATTTGCCCAATCCTTCCAGCCTCATTATGTCCCTGGGGTCGACTCGGCCTGTAACAGAAATGAGTACCAGGAATCTTCCTGGGGGAGAAAGAGTGACCACAGTGTACGTCTGACAACCTTACTGCCATCTCTGAACTGTCTGTCTATAGAAAATGTTTGAGCCTTGACATCTCACAACCCTATGGGCCTCCATGGCCTATTACAGGGATAGCATTTTCTTTTACCAGCAGGATTACATTATTTGTTAGCTCTGTTGGATACAGAGTTTATTACTGTATGCGGTGCATCAGAGTATGCTTTCCCAATTTTGTCTCTTATGATAGCATTATCTTCAGAGCTAGGCAGTTGCAGACCTACTGTTCTGCTGCCCACTGATGTCAAGTTAACTACTGAATTGTAACGGTTGGTGTTACTTATAGGTTGGCTCACTCTGCATGGAAGTAATAGACTATGAATTACGTCGATATGACCAGTGGAAAGATGATCTTGAGATTCGTCGTCGTAAATGTGAAAGTGGTAATGTTCCAAGTCAAGCACAAACCCAGGTACATGGGCCCATGTCTGCTGACTTACGCCGAAGAGTCAGTGATGGTCTCAATAGTCATAGTACAGAAATATCCTCAGAACTTCGGAGAACAGTATCTCACATTCCTATAGCCTCTGGAGATAATCGTAGGAGAACAGTAGATGGTGTACACAGTGCAGGGGAGAACTGGGAGTCCAGAAGAAGACAGCTTGAGGGAATAAGCAATCCCCCAACCAATCCAGTCACTGCTGTTGTTGATCCTAAAGAAGAACTGAAAAGATTGAAAGAAGATTTTGAGAAGATGAAACGCAAGTTTCAAAATTTCATCAAGAAACAAGATCAGTTGCTGAGAGGTAATTGGATTTGTTATTCATTGCTGTGCATTCTTGGTTTTATAATTTGAAGGTGCATATTGAGAGGAGTTCGCTATGTAAAAATAATCTGTTCAAAAACAGTTTCATGCCAGATTATAAGAAGGGACAAAATAAAGAATGATATCCGATGATAAATTTAAGTGAAGAAGTCCATAGTTGGTTGGTTGTTTGGGGGTTAGTATCATAAAGTTTGAGCTGTCGGTAATCTTTTGACAAGTATGACCATACCACTCCATTCTTGGCAGAAGTGCTGCACATTTTCCACTTTCCAAGTAGTGTAGAATGCCCTGCAGAGTCAGATGTACTTCACACAGTAGGAAGATATCTGTGTTTTTTCCACTTTCTGTAGGCCATAGAATGTGAATACTCTGCAAATCTATACACCACTGTGGAACAGAAGCTTCTGAATCTTATCATGAAAAAGAACATTTTTTTCACTTTGTAAAGTTTGCTGTTGAAAAACTTAACACACTTTTTAGCATATTTTGTTCTTGCACAATGGAGTGCTGCTTTATCTCTGAGCATCATCATAGAGTTGCTTAAAATAGGCGTGTTCATGATCAGCACAATCACGAAGCTTGAACAACTTAAACATTTTCCTCTTCCAATTTCTGTCCATGTTCAGAAGTCTTCCAGACAGGTGAGGCCTCATTATCATTGCAGAAATTTCAGTCTTCATTAGTTTCCAATGTCTGTAGTGTTGTCAGTCAGACTTTGTGTCTCTTTGATGCCCCAAGGAACCTTTGAGCATTTTAAACCAGACTTGACTTTATTTCAGTCAATATAATATTTGGTCTCTGAGTGAAACTTCATGTTCCCCTTGGTGTCAGAGTGAAACTTTATGTGCCTTCTTTCGGTCGTGACTTAACTTTAATGTCAAACTATATATCATAAACATGACAATATTTAAACAAAGCATATATTCAATGCACAGAAATGATTATATAAAAGAAACTCATTAAAGACGTGTTCTAAGCATGTTTGCCTATATATATGACACCTCCTGGTGGTACATTCACCCCCATTTCAGAAACACTATTTTAGATTCTTATTTTTGTACACTTGTTAATGGTGCACATTTTGAAAACAATCTGCATGCCTCTCTGGTCATGTCCCTCAAAAGCATTAATCATTTTGATAGCAGCTGTTATTAAGTTATGGACAAATGTAGCATTTTCTTGCCTCATTCCAGTATCTTTCTACTTGCTGCTGAACATTGCGGAAGATACTCGCGTTGAGGATAAAATGAGGAAAAAGAATATAACTGGAATGCTAACAAAAACACTAGACAGAGATAATGCTGACCTCTTAATCTTGGTTGTCACATTTCTGAAGAAGCTGTCCCTTTTCAAAGAGAATGTGGATGACATGGTAAGTTTCCATATAAACTTGAGATACCGGAGCTCTTTCAGATTAGCTGTAATATCATTACATTTACTCTGTTGCGCTGGACCATTTATGAACTGTCTGCCTATCAGAATAGGAGTTAATTTCATGAAAGGGAAATATTGAATATTCTGTCTTCCTTAAGCAGGAGTTTACAGAACATGGTCTAATTAGTAGAAGAATCAGTGTGGAAAAATTCATCTTGGTCTGTATAGGATGTAACTGCAGAAATCAAAGTAAATGTGTGTGCGTGCCTCCATCTTGGCCTTCCCTCCTGTCCTCTGTTTTTAATGTTTGCTGCAGAGATTTACAATTACGTGTACCATGTTCATTGATCTGCATGTTAGAACTCAAGAACCACTGGAACAGATTTACATGAAGCTTGATGTTGGGGAGTTTTACTAAAATTTGGTGACAAATTTCAATTTTGTTAAAAATCAGACAGCAAACTTGCATATTACATGAAGGCCTGATGTGTTTCTTCACATATTTTGAACTAGTTGCTAAATATTACGAGTGCAAATTAAAAAGTCTTTGCCCCTATTTCTTTTTTGAGCCACGATAATACACATACAGGGAAATCAAAATACAGGCAGTGTTCTAAGTACCTTTGACTGTTTTTCCACATAGTCACCACCCCGGTTCAGGCATTTGTCCTATTGCACCACTAGTTTGGAGATGCTGCTGTTGTAGAATTCGGCCAGTTGAGTGCGGAACCACTGCCGGACAGCGGTTTTTGCGTCACCGTTGGAAATGAACCTCTGGCCTGCCAGGAACTTCTTCAGTGTACCGAACACATAATCACTGGGGACAAGGTGTGGACTATACAGTGCATGCTCTATAATCTCCCATCCAAATGACTGCAGTCAGGCAGCGGTCCTGTTTGCCACATGAAGCCTGGTGTTGTCATGGAGGAGAACCACATCATCCACAAGAATTCCCAGGCGCTTTTTCCTGATGGCAGCTCACAGACATGCGACTGTGCCACAACAGCTGTCCGCGTTGACAGTGGCACCTCGTGGCATGAAATCCAGCAGGAGTGGTCCTCGGCAATCCCAGAAGACCATGACCATCAACTTCCCGACAGATGGCGTTCTGCAGAATTTCTTCATGAAAGGCAAACTGGGATGTTTCCACACCATGCTCTGGTGCTTGGGTCCTGGAGTGAAATGCAATACCCACATTTCATCTCTGGTGACAATGAGATCCAGAAACTTTTCACCCTCCTTGGAGTAACACTGCAAATGTCGCAGTGATGTCATCATTCTCTTGGCCTTGTTCAGATCATCCAACAGCTTAGGTACCCACCAACATGAAGCCTTGTGATACCCCAAGGAATCATGAACAACATCGTAAACTGCCATATGAAATGCCAGGCTCCTTGGAAATGACTTTCAGATGCACACGCTGATCTGTTCTCACCATTGCATCCACGTGGGCAGTGTTGTCCGGTGTGAGCGAGGTGCGAGGCCACCCCGACCTCTCATTGTCATTAAGATCTTCCTGGCCATTAGTAAACTCACAACACCAGCACCGCACACTTCTCAAAGTGAGACATTTGTCCCCATATGTCCGCTGCATTTTCCTGTGGATCTTGATGGATGTTCATCCCTTGCTCCATAGAAAACAAATAATACTTCACTGCTCATACAACGTGGACGTGTTATGCACACCAGCCATCTTCGCCGACTGACAGCGGCGCAGTCCCGTGGAGCAACCGAGAGTTAATGCTGGGCCGGTCCAAGCATACCCAGTTGCATCAAATGTATAACCCGGTTACTCAATCACACTAATATTTTGGCTGAAAAAAATAGGGGTAAAGACTTTTTGATTTGCCTTTGTATATAAGGAGAAGTGTTAGATGCATATTGAAGCAGTCTTATTCCCAGTGCATTTTTTTTCCGTGAGTCTGTACTTTCTTAGATAGCCAAATGGAAGGAAATGTGCCAGAATTGTTACGCAGTTACGCATTTCTGTACTTATTCATATGTGTATAGTCAGTAGTCCATACAGTTGAAAGAATTTCAGTTTGCATGTGTTGTACAACCAGAATAAAATGCTGTTACGTGTGTGGGGTGTGCATGACTTATAGATGCGTTTTAGACTGAATGATTGGATTTATTGACACCTTATACACTCCACTTGCAACTACAGGAAAATACAGCACTATTGCTGTTTCCTCACTTTACAGTTCACTCTTACACCCACTAGTGTCTTCGGTCTTCACTAATCGTACCCTGGCAGCAGATTCATAACTGTCTGGCACTTCAGGTCACACATGAAGTCTTCTTTGCACAGCCTAATTCCTTTCTTGTCTTTATTCTCAATCATCTTTGACTGCCAACTCAATTCTCTGCTACAACTGCCAATTCTGGAACTCGACTCAATTCTATTTCTGGCTGTATGAGATCCTCATTATGTAGCCTCGGGGTGGACCCACAGAAAACACCACTTCTCTGTTGTTGTTTGTTGCTTCACTGCTGCAGAGATGTGTTTACCACACAGTTGCATAGCAGTGAGCGCAGCACAGACCCACAGAGAATGCCACTTGCAACACCCCTCTTCTGTTGTTGCATGATGTCACAGCATACATGACATGTTCCTCTGCTGCATTTGTAGGGGCCATTACCCAGCAACAGCTGTTTCTCTACCTCCACAGTTCTCGCTTTGAGCAAATACACCACAAAATTGCTTAAATTCTGAAATTTCTTTTTGCACATAAACATGTTAATAAACACAGTAGTCAGTCAGTCAAGAAACTTAATGTTCTCACTGACCATGGGACCTCATCAGTATGTTATCAGAAGCCCAGTAAGTGCCTTTGTTAACCTTCTAGTTTATGATACCGTATGTTTCAGTCGGACCTGAATGTGGTTGAGAAGCTCCCAAGGATCTTGATGATGAACAACTCTGACTTGATTCATATGACCCTGAAACTTCTGTTAAACCTGTCATTCACCCTTCTCCTACGAGAGAGAATGGTACGCATTGGATTCTTGCCAAAGCTTGTCAGTCTTCTAAGTAAGTACACAGTATGCTGACATTTTCTTCATCCAATTTTGTTTATTTTTTACCGTGATGCATGACAGTGTTCAAATGAACTTTGTACGGTATTCTGACTTTTCTGCTTTCAGATGAGCAGCGCCATGAATCCGTTGTACTGAAAATTCTGTATCATCTAAGCATGGATGACAGGTGCAAGTCAATGTTCACCTACACCGATTGTGTTCCTATGGTAAGTTTGGGTCAACAAAGTCAATAAAATAGAGGAAACAAAGGCTGCAAATGGAATTTGTCCAGGTTGGCTCTTTCTGCAATAGAATAAATAAATTAGTTCATGAGATGTAAGATTTTAGGCTTTCACGGCGGTGACTATGAAGAAAGCAGTCTTCTGGGATTTGGCACCGTGTATAAGTGGTGTTAACACCACTTATACACACACTTCATGAGATGTTACCCTATAGCTTAGCTTCAAGTCAGGTAGAGCATATGAGAACTGCGATTCTGTTTTTTTGCAATAATGGCAGCAAAATGAAAGTGGATACTGGTGTATATGAATTAATCAGTACAGTTATTTATTCACTCAATCTACTTTTTCTGTTCATTTAAAAACGAATCTTTTTTTATTGGTAGTGGTGTGGGACTAAGTCCCTTGTACTGCAGCCACTTCTGGTCTATTGTACCAGCCCCAGATGATAGGTGAGGGTGATTGTGGAGCAATTGGTGAAATGAAGATTGGCAGGGGAAACCGAAGTACTCGGAGAAAACCTACCCCAGCGCCACTTTGTCCACCACAAATCCCACTTGACCAGACCCGGGATCAAACCCGGGCCGCCACGGTGGGAAGGCAGCGACTAACCACTTGAGCTATGCTTATATTGTTATTTGCTTGATGTATTGTTTTAGGTTTCAATTAATAGAGCTTTGAAAGTGATATTTGACAATAAAATATAAATCCATATGAGTTCATACCTAAGATGCCTCCAGGCCTTCCTCTCTCCAAATGGAAGAGTGAAGAGTCAAGCACTCCATCTTGGGTGTTGATGTACCTAGATATCAATATTCTGAAATGCAGTCTATGATTATTGAAAATATTAATTTGTTCAAAAGATCTATGGAATGTTGCAGGCAATGAAGATGCTGCTGGAGGGTCCTGAAGATGATGTGAATTTGGAATTGGTAGCACTGTGTATCAATCTTGCAATCAACAAGCGCAATGCACAGATTATGGTGGAAGACAATAGATTGGGGTGTCTTATGGCTCGAGCATTCCGTAATCAGGACTCTCTGATCATGAAGATGATTCGCAATATTGCCATGCATGAGGGTACCAAGCAGAATTTTGTTGTAAGTTTAAAATTCCATAATGCACATAGTTGTTTAAATGTGAATTGGCTGTGTGAAGCAGTATTATCTGGTATTTTTGTTTACAGATATAAATAAACTTTTATTATATTATATTTGCGCACTGTTAAAAGTGCTTTACAGTAACCTTATAAACATTGATTAGGTTAAACGTCAGTGACATGTACAGTTTTTAAGAATGAATCAGTAGATATTTGACAAAACTAACGTTAAGTAACATGTTGACCTTTTTACTGTATTAAAATGAATTCACTGGTAAACAATATTTGATAGAAGAAAGCAATCTTCTGTGATGTAGTGCCGTGTAGATATTGTGTTAACCGAAGTTTTTAAGGAATGTATCGCCTCCATCTTCGGGGTAGAAGAAAAAAGAAGAAAATCTGCGAGAGAGGAACCAGCATGAGCAGGTGCTAACAGACTGATTTCGAGTTGAATAGACCCAGCTGTATAAGAGCAGGAAGAGAGGGAAGAGAGGCTACATGGGAAATCAGTAGAGAGGAGAAGGGAAGGGTCTGGGGAGGTGGGCCAGCAGGTAGCAGGCCAGAGCAGGTATAGAATATTGTGTCAGGGGGAGAAAGGCAAGGTTAATTGGAGGGCATTAACCCTGTAGTTTGGGGGCTGCAATGCAAATCGGGCATGGACCTGCATGGCTTTGTGGATCTGGCATCATATCCCAGAGGTTTCTTGAGGGAACAGATGAGAGGCTTCCCTGTCTCAGCAAGTCATGGAAGCCTCTCATCTGTTCCCTCAAGAAACCTCCGTGACATAATACCAGATCCACAAGGCCATGCAGGTCCATGCCTGTCTCAAATTGCAGCCCTGAAGCTGCAGGGTTAATGCCCTCTAATTAACCTTGCTTTTCTCCCACCCCCTGGCACAATATTCTGTGCCTGCTCTGGGTTGCTACCTGGTGGCCACCTTCCCAGACCCTTCCCCTCTCCTCTCTACTGATTTCCCATGTAGCCCCTCTTCCTGCTCTTAGACAGCTGGGTCTGTTCGACTCAACATTAGTCTGTTAGCACCTGCTCACGCTGGTTCCTCGTTCACAGATTTTCTTCTTTTTCTTTTACCCTGAAGATGGAGGTGATACGTTCCTCTGAAACGTCAGTTAACACAATATCTACACAGCGCCACATCCCAGAAGACTGCTTTCTTCATAGTCACCACCTTGAAAACCTCAAATTTTGCATAATATTTGAGAGAGCCAAACACTTTAATTAATTCTGAGTAGCCACTGAGCGACACAGCCTTTGTTTCGAGCCTTCATGTCTGAGCATCTGAGCATGCAAAGTTATGTAGAGGAGGAGTGGGCATAGGTTTATTGCACTCTTTCACTACGTTGCCATACATACAACATGAGAGGGACCATAGTCTGTTTTGTATGATGGATTTTGTTATTTTCACAGCTCACCACATCAGGATATTTGCAATTTAAGAGTACAAGAATATGAAGTTTTATGTATGCCAGTAAGATATTCCCATAAGCATTACAGGAAGCCTACCAAGAGAACAACAGGTCACACTGAATGGACACATGTTTCAGGCTTTTCAAGTGGTGCCAGCAGTCACTAGAGGATGTGATCCATGGAAAGGAATTCCAGCATAGCTCATGAGACCATTGCCTGTATTTGAGAGGTCATTGGAGGGGACCATAGATAAACAACTGTTGAAGTTGCCAAGCTCATTATTATGTCACTTGGAATATGCAATCCGAGAACTTCACAAATATTTTAATTTACACTTTTAATGATGAATTAAATATTTGTTCTGATACACTATTTGATACAGTTCTGAAATAAAATAATGTTATTATGATGTACAGTCAGCGTACACCTTGTTCAGTCTCTTGTTGCACTTAGCATATTAAATTGTTATATGATCAGATGAATGTTGGAAGTATGAATTGAATAAAAATGTGATTTATTCAGATTCTGTTAATATTAACAGAATAAATATTCTAACTTCGTGAACCACATTTTTAAAAATTGTGACAGGTTACAAGCCTGCTCCAGTTTGTTTACAGATTACTGTGCTGAGGTCTTGGAAAGAAGTCTCATGGATTGACTCCCTCCAAATATCCCTTGATTGGGTTAACATATTCCCCAATCATCCAGCCATTTTAGTCTCACAGACATTGATAGTGTTAATGGTGTAATAATCTTTGCTAGCATCAAGTGCATTGGGCTGGTTGATATAGGCCAGAGTGTTGGAATGGAAACCAACAGCAGGCAAAAGGAGGAAGCTTGAGAGTCATCGTCATCATCATCATCATCACCACCACCACCACCACCCCTCCCCCAGCCATGGGATTGCTTTGCATGCAGTACCTTGTACTCCAAGGTTAAAGGAGATCATCTCTGCTATACATTTTTGAATACTCACAGTGAAGGACTGAGTATCTTGGGTGTAGGTTTTGAAATGTTGACGATAAAGGACTGAATATCTTGGATATGCATTTTTAAATTCTCAGAGTAAAATATTGAATATCTTTGATATAAACCTTGCAGTCCTTGCATAAAGAATGCTTTGGAAGTTTATTAAGTAGTTCTTTCAAACTGGTAACAGTTCTGACATGTATAATCAACTAACAGTTGTCAGACAATTGTGAATTTTGGTCATAATGATCCATAACAAAGCCAACGTAAGCTTTTAAAAGTACCTCTTATATCGTAAATCATTAATCATATTTTGATGAAATGTTAACATGTGAGATGTATGCATAACAGTAGTCTGCTGTCTTTATTTTTAGTCACGTTGACCATTTGCAAAGCCTATTTTACATAAGGTTAGGAATTAATTTTTTTTCATGTAAATCATAACTTGCTGTCAAACACCAAGACTGAGAATAATCCTTTATGTATGAATCAGATGAGGAATTAATCTCAGAAACTTAAACCCCCCAAAATATGTGCATTACTTTATTTTCAGGAATTTGTGGGTGATATAGCAAAGGCAGTTGTAGATTGCCCAAACGAGGAGTTTGTGGTAGAGTGTGTTGGTGTCCTAGGCAACATGACTTTACCAGACCTGGACTTCTGTCAGCTCATGCAGCGTTTCAACCTCATCCTTTGGGTCCAGAACATCCTCATCCCTGGTGAGAGTTTATATACAATACATGGTACAGTAATACTAGAATCTATGAGGAAATGATTTCTTGTTCTTTGTAAACTCTTTATGTTAGTGAAAGGCAGAAAGTAACAAGAGTCTGGTTCAGCTATAAATCTGTATGTACTCACTTATACCTGATCTTCTTTATGCCATAGGAAAATATGAGGATGACTTGGTCCTAGAAGTTGTCGTTCTGCTGGGGACAGCTGCTGCAGATGAGGGCTGTGCTATGCTCCTTTGCAAAGCGGATATTCTTCTGTCTCTCATAGAGCTCTTGAAAGGTAAACACTCAGATGATGCTGCTTGTCACATCTGGCATATTACATTTGTGTGGAATGTTTTTGATAAATATCTACCTTCTACCTCTCCTTTCTTAGCCTTTATCATCTGGAAATGAGAAATTTTGAATTACCCAGTACTACAGGACTTGTGGTGGGAATTTCACACGTAGGATAACAATGCAAGCATTGAAAAAGTGAGTGCCCTGGTAGCTGGACAGTGTCAAAATCACTGTTAGTGCAGTCTACAGCTGATGAAGGTTAATCCCATGTGATCTGTTGAATTAAATTGTGCTGTTCCTGTTTGTATGGTTCATCTATTGTAATGAACATAGAATTTCCACTGTATCAAAATTCTTTAAAGCTGAATAACTCCAGTGCGCAGGAACCATCTTAAGAATATGGTGGATGGTCAAAAAATGCTGTTAATATTCTGCAAGATTCAATACAGTGTTCACAAAAGCCCAGTCTTATATGTTTTCCTGTATCAGTTCAATCCATTCCTCACCCTCATACCCTGTCTTCTTCAGATTAGTTATTTCCCATGCAAGCTACATGGCTCACCTTATTTCCATGTGTGATAAATATTGTGACAGATATTGTGACATATTCCAACGAATGTGCATCCAATAATAGAAGGACCCCCATTGCTAGGTAACAGACCGGCAAACACATCTCGCAGCAATGAATATGCAACAGTAGGGTGTCCATTGCTAGGCAGTGCATGGGTGGACAAGCCTGACAACAATATAGGATATCCGTTGCTGAGCAGTTAATGTGTTTTATGTGGTTGGTCCATGCTGAGCCTGTGTAAGAAGCCGTGGAAACTGTTCAAGGAGAATTCATTAAGAAGATGGTGTTCAAGGCAGTGGAAGTGTTGAAGACTTACTTTATGTGTTATAGATGCTGTAACCTTGAATGTTGTAATTGCTTATGTGTGTAGGTACAGCAATTTTGAAAGTGTAATAACTAATTGTAGTGGTGAAGATCCGATAAATTGATTCATCTGATCCGGAACCCATTAATTTTTTGTTACGATGACCCTTATACATGGCAGTATAAAAAGTCTTTATGACATTTCATGACATTGTTTCTTTATGATGAGGGATTGACAGCCCCACACCCAATCAAGCCAGAGGGCCACCTTTTGTCAGATGTCCACAGTTGATTATTCAGCACATACTTCAGTAAATGTAGGTACCTGGATGCTGTCTCCTGCATCTGCAACCTGAAAGCACACTGTACCATATTGACAAGGGGCTCAATATGGAAAACGTTTCTGTTTAAAATCAGAACTTTTCTGACACAAGGAAACATTGAGGTGTAAATATCTACCTGAGAAGATGTGGCTCTTGATTTTCTGTACAGCTTATTTCATTTCCATTGCAGCCAAACAAGAAGACGATGAAATGGTACTCCAGATCATTTATGTGTTCTATATGATTTCTCGAACTACTACTACAAGAGATTACCTGATCAAAGAGACTGGTATCCTTTATTTGCTCATAATATGTTTATTGTCTACAGGATAATGGAGTGAATTACACAGCATCTGTCTTAAGTAGGTGTCAGTCTCCCAGAATTTATTTTTTGTAAGATTGCAGTTTTATTTGTATATGTGCGTTTCAAATTAATAATTTCAAAATGTTTGGACTGTAGTGGCATGATTTGGAATGCAGTCTGTTTCTTTACAGTAGAACTATTCTGGATGTGAAACCATCCCATAACTTTTGTAAGTACTTAGAATTATGCCGGACACTCAGCCATCTATGTGAGTTTTGAGGTTCTTGTTGTACTGAGTATCAAGATTACAATCTTCTTTGTTGCGACACTATTTAATTTGATTGATAGATGTATGCCGACATTTTGGATTATCCTGCTCCCTCCATCTTCAATGTATAAGAGTAAAGGTTCGGCCACACAGAGCGCTACATACGCTATGTTTGCTATATGAACAGAAAAATATCTCCCTTTATTGCCTATGTGACTGGCCACACAGACTTCCGTATGCTGTGTTCCCTATGTTACCTGTATCGCACAGTGTACACAGTGTACGTAGCGAACATAGCCGAATCTTTAGCCATGCAGGGAAGACAGATATGGATGGATGTAGGGATGGGAGGCCTGCAGGGCTGTGAACAAAATAGTAGGAATCAGTGTCTCTAAAACTGGCTCTTTTGTTAAGAGTAAAAGTCGAGGGGTAAAATGTAGAAATAGAGCAAAGAAAGGTGGGTAACAGACCAAAAGATAAATAAGTAAATGAGAAAAATAAAAACAGAACTAGAATGGAGATAAATAAGGAGAAGGAAATGGGTAAGAACAGAAAGCAAAGAGCTATGATAATAAGGGAAATTTAAGAAACATGAGATGGAGGACAGTGATTAAAGGAGAAAATTTAAAAAAGTGAGAGCTGAAGATGATACCACCTCTGGTCTAGTGGTCAAAGTTCCTGCCTACAGATCCAAAGGTCCTGGGTTCGATTCCTGGAGCTACCAGAGTTTCTGAGAAGTGGCAGGTCTGGAACGGCGTCCACTCAGCCTCGTGAGAATAATTGAGGAGCTGTTTCAAGGAAATAGCGGCTCTGGTGTAGAAAACCGAGATTAATGGCCATGGGGATCCATTGCACTGACCCCGTGACACCATCTATCAGCAAAAGTGAACACTAACTTCACCAACAAGTGGTGGTCGCTTGGTCAGTATAGTTCGCTTGCAGACTACAAGTAACAGAAGGTTTTTATATTATTATTATTATTAGCTGAAGATAGAGGTGCAGGGAGAAGGAATTAAGGAAAAGCAGAGTGGGCGGAAGAACAGAAGAGGACTTGAGGCCTCTGACTTGATAAGATAAGTGTTAACTGTTTTGCTTAAATGCCAGTTCACAAAAAACTGAACACATCACATTTATCTCAGATGATGTGCAGTGCTCAATATAATATTGGTTTAGTGATTAACCACTGTCACAAACTTTTAGAGACTCAGACATGGAGCTTCGGAGTACAGTAGGATGATTTTATTATTGGCTCATGAAAATAGTTTCCTTAACTCAGATCACAGAAGCTCCTGCATATTTGATAGACCTCATGCATGACAAGAATACTCAGATTCGGAGGATCTGCAATCATTGCCTCGATATCATAGCTGTAAGTTTGTACAAGGACAGTTTGGAAAGTAACTTCCTTTTATTTTAGGCAGCTGATGTAGGAATGGGGGAGAGTTCTCCCATGTGGAGTAGTGTCACATGACTCCTTACCTTGTAAACAATCACATACTGGTCACCTAGTGTTTGTTCTTGTCCCTACAAAATGAGATATGATGTGTCTTGTGATTTATAATCCCACCAGCTGCGAAATTTGTGCTGTTATCTGCTTTATTCACACTAAAAACATGAGTGCTGTGGAAGTCCGTTGTGAATCGATCACGGTTTACTGCCAAAATGTAAGGCAGTGGTGTAGAATGTTCAAAGATGAGTGAACAAATGAACAGATGTTCATGATGAAGAGCAAAGTGGTTGTCTGTCTGTAGTGAGTGAGGATCTTGTTCAAAGTGTTCATCAACAAAATTGTGAGAGCCAGTGCTTCACAAATTCAGAACTTTCATGTGAATTTCTCCAAATCACACACACTGTTCTCTATGAAATTATGCCAGTTGGGCTAGGTATCACAAATTTTGCGCTAGAGACGTTCTGACAATGCTTACAGGTGCGCAGAAAACACAGAGAATGGCTTCAGCTGTGATATTTTTAGAACAGTACCACAAAGATGGCAGTGAATTTCATAGTCACATCATGCAAGTAACAGGTGATGAAACTTGGGTTTCATTTGCGATTGTTGAAACCAAAGAATAGTCAAATCAGTGGATTCACATGCATTCACCAAACAAGCTGAAAAAGTTCAAAGACAAATGTTGCCTGCTAGAAAGCTGATGGCAACTGTTTTCTGGGACAGAAAAGGAATGCTGTTGGTGGAATTCATGCAACAAGGGACCACAATAACATCAGAAGCATATTGCAAAACACTAAATAAAGTACATTGGATCATGGTAATGCTGACATCTGGTGTAGTGCGCCTCCATGACACTATGCATGTGCATACACCTGCTTGCACTCGGAACACTCCTAGATCATTTTAAATGGCAGTTGTTGACCACCCTCCTTACAACCCTGATCTCACTCCGAGCCACCACCACCTGTTTACCTACCTGAAGAACTGGTTGTGATCACAGCGCTTCAGCAGTAATAAGGAGTTAATGAAAGGTGTCAAAACATGGCTGAGCTCACAAACAGCAGACTTGTTTGACACAGGCAAACAAAAACTTATTTCCTGATACAACATGTGCCTCAGTTCTGGTGGTGACTATTCTGAGAAGTAGCTTAAGTATGTACATATGGCCCTAGAAATGGAATCTCTCCTAAATGTAGAGATTTTTATAAGCTTTTTGTTGAAGAAGAATTAGTAATATGTTCTAGTGCATTGTGAAAGTTGGGCAAGCATTATAAACTGATGCATTGATAAAATTGGTTGTTACTGGTTAATTCAGGAATTCTGTATACATTTGATCAAGTAATTGATTTATAATTCTTTTAAAATGTCAATCTGGGAACTGATGGTATGCAGCCTGTAGTTCTTTTCATAAATGTCATTTGCATTGCCAATAATCTCTGTTCATACTTACTTACTCATGGAGCTGAACCCTTCTGGAGGAGCTGCCAATTCTGCAGCTACTCAATTCATCAGCATTTTATGGAACCGAAAGGTTCATTACCGTGTTCACAAGAGCCCTCCACTGGTCCCTATCCTGAGCCAGATCTATCCAATCTGTACCATCCCATCCTATCTCTCTAAGATCCATTCTAATATTGTCCACCCACCTACACCTTGATCTTCCCAGTGGTCTCCTTCCTTCTGGCTTTCCCACCAATATCCTATACGCATTCCTCGTCTCCCCCATTCGTGCTGCATGACCTGCCCACCTCCTCCTCCTTGACTTTATCATTCTAATTATACTTGGAGAAGGGTACAAGAAATATCTTTTCATATGCTTTTCTAATCTTCAGACTTCACTTTCATATGTCAAAATAGGTATTTCCAAAATTTCTATTATGTTTTCTACTTATGAGGTTTGAATATCTAATGCAGTGCTCTGGTCACTTGTGTACATCTGATATTTTCTTACATTTATTTCCATGTAACTTTGGTATTGAGAGTAGAGTTCCGTATTACCAAGGTTTGACGGTTTATGGTGATGGCATCAGTTCTTCCAACAGTAGAAAATAATATTACTCATAAATGATAATTCTTTATCATGGTATTGCATAAATGTATTGGCTTGTAACTGAGATGGTGACGTTCAGTTATTCAGTATAGAGGGGGTGGGTTTCCCCATGCACCGCGACTAATAGTCTGTTGTACGTCCCCCTTTAATTTCTGCTGTCGCCATACTGGTGCCATACCGATACTGGTGCCCGCTATCTCCCCTTTCTGCCAGCGAGGTCGGCCCTCTACTGGCAGTGGTACCCGACAATTCTCTCCTTTCTGCCAGCGAGGTCGGCCCTATACTGGCATTGGTACCCGACAATTCTCTCCTTTCTGCCCGCGAGGTCGGCCCTATACTGGCATTGGTACCCGACAATTCTCTCCTTTCTGCCAGCGAGGTCGGCCCTCTACTGGCAGTGGTATCCGACAATTCTCTCCTTTCTGCCAGCGAGGTCAGCCCTATACTGGCATTGGTACCCAATAACTTCCCCAGAGATGGTGATGTTAATCTCATTAGATTTTTTACATACTGGTAAGTGCTTAGAATTCTTGGTTCATCGTAAGGTGATGCAAATTGTTACAATGTAATGAGTGAATATATAAATGCACAGGATTGGAACAAGGAGTGGGCAGACCGAATCAAATTAGAAAAGTTCCGCTGGCACAACTCTCAGTGGCTTGACATGGTGGAGAGTTCAATGGATGATAAGGACTTTGGAATGCCAAATGAAGATTTGCCACCAGTCTTAAATGGAGATCTCATGCACCTGTACCCTACAGGTAATAGAGCTAATAATATTTTATAGTACAAATAATTGGGCCATGATTTGGTGATGAGAACTAAAATCATAATGTATTTTATTATTATTAGAGGGGGTGGGTTTCCCTGTGCAATTAGACCAGTTATTGGTCCAATGCGCGTCCCCCTTTAATTTCTACTGTTGCCATAACCTACTGGTACTGGTGCATGCTATCAGCCCCGTTCAGCCAACGAGGTCGGCTGTCAGTACCTGATATTTTCCCCATCTACCAGAGACACTGGAAACTACTTGGGTGGGAAATTGTTACCTAATTTTGCTCAGAGGTCTCCTAGAGGCATGAGGATCTTTTACGTGCCATAAATCTACGACACGGGACCCACGGCTTAAAGTCTTTCCCGGAGGACTTGTTCCCTGAATTTTTCCGCCCTTAAAAATTCCACAACCTCCGCCAGGTTTGAACCCGCGTACCTTGAGTCATGAGGTGGGAACGTTACCCCTAGACTATGGAGGCCACTAAATCATAATGTATCTTAAGTACAGTGGAACCTCGCTTAACAAGCATAATTTGTTCCAGAATCTTACTCGTAATGCGAAACACTCATTATGAGAGGTGCTCGTTAAGCAAGGTTGCACTGTATTTGACTGATCACTGGTGCTAACCTTTCAACCAGATACTAGCAAGTAGTGACTTATAACATTTCAGTTGTGGTTCACGTGGTACCAGTACTAGGGTGTATCATAAAGTTCTGAGGCAGACATATTTACTCAAGCACCATGTATAGGTGGGTAAGTAGATAACACTGCTGTGTACTGGCAATCCCACTGTGACACACTGTTTTCTGCTATACCTCAAGATTATTGTCACTGTGACACTGTAATTCCATAGATAAGTTCTGACATTTCCAAGGAACCTGCTGCTTTCATCTACAGAATAGACAATCCTCCTCCTGCCCTGAAGATGGAGGCAGCACATACTTCCAAAACACTGATAAACATCCATGAAACTACACACTTCCACATTCCAGAGGACACAGTAATTATCTTACAGATTAAGTGTAAATAAAGTACCAAAAAAAATGGATAAGCAGTGATATGCATTCAAACCTGTAGCAGCTGCAGTATGTTTATTATTTCATTTCCTTCTCCCCTTGAAATATACTTATTTATTTAGATATTTTCCTGTTTAGCCCTGCATGTCAGAATTGCAGTTTGTTGCAGTTTGAAAGCAATTCACAAATCCTTATCAACTCCTCACTCTGCTTTTTTTAACATAATTTAACTCGCTCTTGGTGAGTTTTAATGCTAAATGTGTGGGCAATGTGATTCGGTTGCATAGCTGTCTGTTATGGGAGAAGAAACTGTAACCTTAGCTGTGTTTTATGAATGGAATGGTGTCAGATAGAAAGAGGAATACATTGCAGAATCTTTTGGGCTTCATGGAAAAACAAATAGATCTCCACATGTTCTCCTCTAATGTATGTACTCTGTGTAAACAGATATTGATTGATACACATAAAGTGATAAGAAGTGTATATGAAGTGTTCCAGGAGGAAGTGGCTGAACTTTGGGATATTATTAAACAGCTGATTCTGAGAGAAAAATTTTATAATGGTTACAAAGTTAGGGATATTTTAAAATTCTCTTATCCAGAAATTGTCGTTGATAATCTACAACAGCATCTCTTGAATTGTCATTTGAGTATCCCTAAATGAAAAGAATATCAGCATATTTATTGTTTGAAAGGATAGTGGATGAAGTGCTTGTCAAGTGGGTGGGGAGTGTTTGCCACAAAACACAAGATATTGTGTGTAACACGCCACTGACTGTTCATGTCATTATGCGTGATGTGCCCATCATTACCATACACACCACCACTAATACAAAGCTCTCTTAATATTACATATGCACATGTGCTTCATTTTGGGTTTCAACATCTCCACAATTATGGAATTTACAGTTTGCTAGTGTAAACATTTATTGTAGTTTACAGTAGTAAAACAGTAAATTTGAAATTATGCTTATGAATTGTCACCTAGTTACAAATTCCACTTCACATTGTAATAAACATGGATTTTTAAAAATTATGTTAGGTCAAAAGATGTTTGAGGCAAAATTTTCAAAATTCATTGATTTGTGTCACACATATTGTATGAGTCTTTTTTATATAAACAAAGGAGAATAAACAAGGCTCATTTTGGATTCATTGATGTCATTGTTCAACACCTGTAACAGGATGCTTGTAGCACTGGTAAAATCATTCTGCAGCATATAATATGTGTAAGTGAAAATAAGTTATTAATAAAGATCTAAATAAATTAATGCACCATTTAATGTACGGATTGGCTTAGTCATTGTCGGAATGTTATCATCCTTATAACTTTTATGGCGTATTTTTTTTTCCTTTGGCGTTACAGCCCTCATTTGGGCCTGGGCCTACCTCCATGAAACTCCATTTCACTTCGGTTTACTAGATCTTAGACATACGGTAGGACTCCTTGGGCGGGTGATCAGTTTGTTGCAAGGCCTCTACCTGTACACAAACACAGAAAAACGCACACAAACATCCATGCCCTGAGTGGGACTCGAACCCACGATCCCGGCTTCTGAGCGAGCAAAGACAGTGCATGCCTTAGACTGCTCGGCTACCGTGACCGGCAATGTATAAGAATAATATATAAGAATTCAGTTCGTACCTCACAGGAAACAGAACCGAACCCAAGATCCCGGTTTCCAAGCGAGCGAAGACAGTGCATGCCTTAGACCGCTCGGCTACCGTGACCGGCTTTATGAAGTATACATAAAAATAATACATATAGGTAGTTTTCATAAAATCACTTTATTACATGCCAACCTTTACATCTAAATAAATTTTATGTGAAAGATTTTTTAATAGTATATCTAATAAAATACAAACAAAATGATATGTTCTTGTGCTTGTAATTATGTTTGTTAATTATGGACTTCATGGTGCTCTACATTAAGAATTTTAGGATCCATTTCTACCTTAACAGTTTGGCACAAAATGGATCAGATTAAAAGAAAACGAAACAGAGATTTATCTTCCTGCTGGAGTTTGTAGTTGCGTGTTATATGATATATAAGCTATAGTATTTACTAGAGGTACTCTTCTTTATGTTCACAGGATCACAGATGTCGCTGAGTATACCCAGTGAAGATGGTATCAGAGACAGTACTACAGAGAATGTCATTAGACCAAAAAGTGGCAGGTAAGCATTCTTAGTGTACGAAACATTGATGAGGCAGAAATTGTACTCTGGAAGTTCCCACCATCCTATGCTGACCAGCATTATAGTGCAACCAAGCACAATACAACCTTTACAGCTTGAGAATTGAGGTAACAGGGCTATATATATTGTATGCTGTAGTTATGAAGTCTTAGTGTTGTCTTCCAGGCTATCAGAATTACATGACAGTGGTGTAAAACAGTATTTCTGTGTGTGTGATACCACCTGCCATTTTCATAAATATAGTAATCCTTTGCCAACTTCAGATTTCATGTATCTGCAATTTTTCATTTATATCCTCTCTTTTTTTTTTTTTTGGTGACCTATGATGTAATGTGCATAGGCATTGCTATGCAACAGTAACAAGATGGGCAGTTATATCAGACCCATCTCTAGGCAGTGGTTCAGTAAACACATTCCTGCATCAACGGTTACGCATGTAACGGGAAGTGGTGTTGTCTCTGCCGAGGAATTATAAAGAAGAGAACTGGAGCAACCAGTCAGTTGAGATCTACAAGGGAGGCTGAGAAGAGATGGCACTGCAGTTCAATTGATAGTTGGCAAGAGTCCTGCACAGGAGTCTGTGAAGATCAGACCTGAGCACATGAAGCTGAAGAATCTCCATTGTTAGAACCATTGCTAGGGAGTGGCTGGTGAAGACAGCAGGCTGGAAAAGGTTTAGTGGGTGTTGTGTTGATCTATGAATTGTGGAGATTATCAGTGGCGCTGTAATTACTTGTACTTATGAGTCGCATGTATAAGTAGTCAAATCTATTCATCAGTCAATATCCCATCTCTAGTCACACATTTATTGCGACTGTATTTACTCCCAATTTCTGTCACACAGATCACATTGTTGGCTTCTGCACCAAGAGACCTGCATTTGCTGAGAGGTAAGGTCAGCAGTACATGAAATCTGTTGAACATCTTTCATACAACCATTGGAATATGGCTTTCGTGATACTTTTGCTCCCGCGTGATGGTGAAAAGTTCAGTGTCAAGATTTTGATGCATTTACAGATTTCCAATGCTTTTCAGTATGTGAAAGTGGGCTTCATAATGCTGTCTGTACAGTATAACCACTTTAATATGCATCATCATTCTCTGACCATTGCAGCCTAAATGTGAAAAGTATAATTTCATACCACCTGTTTATTTGTTGCTTTGTTCACTGTGTAGGTACAGTCGAGATCTTGAGTCAGAGTTTGGAGATGGGGAACAGTTGCTTCAAGGCAAGTCTTCGTCTTGTCTATCTACAAGCAACAGCAACGAAGATCTTGTGCGTAATGGTCTCAACAACCTGGTCCTGGGTCCAATTCTGTCAGAAGCTGAATTTGACACCACGGGCCAAAGTCAGTATGTAATGATCTAAGTCATGTCAGAAAATATATGTCTTTTCAACCATAAAAAGTGACAGTCACATGGATAGACATAATTTCCTGACAATGACGAGATCAGAAAGGATGTTTCATGTAATGACCTTACCCAATGTTAATGTTTCTTACGTGACATGTCTTGTGGTTTTTGTGGGAGTTCTGAAATCAAAAAGAAAGTTCAGCATTGCTAATGCCATTTTTGGACTACTCATTTACATGATTGCATATGTGCTTGAAATCACATTTTTTTGATGTGTGCCATTATGTTCTTTTGATATTACATATACTATATACATATATATGTAAAATGTAAGCAATATTTGTTGTTCATGTAGCAGCTTATTTAAATTTGTTAACTCTGTTATTCCACCTTGTTGCTTTGTTAATTGTATGCATCTAGATCATTTTTAATAGATGGCTCTTGTTGATAAAGCTAAAATGTGCAATTCTAGTCATACAATTTTTGTATGTTTATAGTGTTTTTTCTGCAGTTATATATTTGTTTCATATTGAAATGTACCGTGACACAATGATATGTACTGCATTTATTTTTTAGATTTATTTATTTTCTTCTGTAAAGAATTATTTGTATGTTCAGTCATTAAACTTCATGATGAATGTATGTTTTATCGAAGTTGCATTTTTTTAGATTGAAGGAAAATATTAAATTGTCTATGGAGAACTCCATTACTCTCTGTTCATCAGTAATACTGTGTCATCTGCAGCGTATTCTGAATACATTGATTGCAAAGTAAAAGATTTCACTTGAATTCAGGAAGTCCTTTGAAGGATTAGTGGGGCCAGTTGTCGTGAATGAGATTCTTCATGGATTTCCTCATTGCTTCCGGTTGAATATCAGGACAGTGTCTTATAACTGGAATACTGTTTCGGTGTTGGTCTTCATAAATACAAAACTATAATTTTACCTGTGGTTCTGTATGGGCATGAAACTTGGACTCTGACATTAAGGGAGGAACTGGGGGTGTTTGAGAACAGGGTGTTGAGAATATTTGGACCAAAAAGAGAGGAAATGATGGGAAGTTGGAGAAAACTACATAATGAGGAGCTTCATAACCTGTACTCTTCACCAAATGTAATTAGAATGATGAAGCCAAGGAGCATGAGATGGGTGAAGCATCTAACATGAATGAGAGAAGAGGAATGAATATAAGATATTGGTGGGAAAGCCAGAAGGAAAGACCCCATTAGGAAGCCCAAAATGTAGGTGGGTGGATAATATTAAAATGGATCTTAGAGAGGTAGGATGGGATGGTATGGATTGGATTGATCTGGCTTAGGATATGGACCAGTGGGTGGCAGTATAGGTTAATCTAATCACGTTCCAAAGTGATGGTATCTGAATGCATGCAAGTGGAGAAGGTTGAGGCAAGAAGTTGTGTGGAGAGGTACTTCTCTAAGTGCAGGTAATAAAAAAACTTGGTACATATGACATAGTCATGCAGAAAATACAGCTATTCTCTTGTTGCTATATATGAACTTCACTTAAAAGGATACTAATGCCTGCCTCTGCCTCATGTTTCATAAAATTTTACACATTATATACTGATCTGGACTGCCTCTGTTGTCTAGTGGTCAGCGTTCCTGGCTGCAGATCCAGAGGTCCGGGTTCGATTCCTGGCACTACCAGTTTTTCTGACAAGTAGTGGGTCTGGAACGGGGTCCACTCAGCCTCGTGATGATAATAGAGAAGCTCTTTCAAGGAAATAGTGGCTCCGGTCTAGAAAACCGAAATTAACGGGCATGGGGATTCGTTGTGCTGACCACGCAACAACCTCTGTCTGCAAAAGTTGGCACTAAACTTCGCCACAAGCGGCACTCACTCGTTTGGTATAGTTCGCTTGCGGACTAAAATCACGGAGTTTGTATACTAATCTGTCCCCCCCCCCCCCCAAGTTCCAGATTTAAAGTGTAACATTTCTCATGATGGTGGCATTTGATGGTATGGCCATTACAAGAATATTTGCCTTATACAAAGCTTGGAAGAACACTGAACTGTTTCACCTCTCTGCTGATCAAGAAACTGGATCCCGTCATCTGTTTTACTGCACAAAAGAGCAGGATATTCTTTCTGAGTGTATGTCATGGGAATAAAGTGAGACATGGTCTTCCCATGAAAATGTTATGAGAATTTTAAATGGGAACAGATAAAGTTTCCTGTTACTGGCAGGGAAAACATTTCTTGAACACTGCAGTTTGAGGATACAATGGGGTACCCAAAAGAAACCGAACTAATTTTTTTGTGGGCAGAGCTTTTGTAGTACCGCGTTTTGCCGCTATGAGCACATAGAGCTAATATTCCTGAGTCGATAAGCCGACTACCGTTGCTTCAGAAGGTAAGGACTAGTTTCGGCAGAGTTTATAGTGACAACTGTTTTGTGTGATCGTCGTTTTTGCAATGGCTGATTTTCGTGAACAGCGTGCAGCAGTGAAATTCTGCTTTTTGCTCGGGAAAAGTGGAACAGAAACTCTTGAAATGTTAAAAACGGCACACAAGGACGATTCTATGGGGAAAACTCAAGTGTTTGAGTGGTTTTCCCATTTCAAAAATGGTGAAATGTCAATTGATGACAAACCTCGTTCTGGTCGACCTTCTGTTTATTGTGAACTGGAAAGTAGATGAATGTGTGGGAGTAATGTTTTCAGAGAAACTGCCTGAAATAATACTCCTTTGCTTGTATTTCCACATGCATAGAATTCCCCATTTGACAGATCTCTGGGAAAAATGATTTTTCTCACTCTAGATAGAGGTTAATAAAAAATTATATAATGACTGCTAATTGTAACTACTAACTCTTTCACTTATTGTAAGCTTCTTCTGGTTCATAGATTCTGTAACAAACAATGAGGAAAGAAATACTATTGACATTCAAACCTCACACAAATCACTTGTGAAAGATTATAGCTGAGAGGGACATTTGGTAACAAAATACGAATACCATATGTTTCAACCGCGATCACACTATATTGACTTGTGAAGCCCAAGCATTGCTTACACTAAATTTGGGTTATTTACTGGATTGAAATTTGCTAATTATGAGGTATATTGCTTATATGGGACTTTGCCTTGGACCACAAGAAATATTCATGGAATACAGGATGTCACTCAGTGTGGAAACGCCAAATTGGGATTTCACTGCAGTATCTTTTGTTAGGAATTCATATGTTAATCAGCTGCCAAATGTTATGATATAGTGCTTACCATTTCTGCCCATATTTGAAAGATTCCAGATTACTGAACAGCAGTTGTTATGCAGGACCTACTAGAGGCTCAAACTTACTGTGGAGGATAACAATCTCCGTGTTCCCTAATTTACAGGAGCAGAAATGAAGTTTTCAGTGTAACCATACAATTTCAATCAAACATTGGAGGTAAAATTCGTACTTTTTGCATTCATGCTTCTTTCCTCTTTACCCAATGAAATTTGTTGTGTTTGTGTGAAGCAAAAATAGCAATGATCTATTATGTCGTTTCCTGTAGTTTACACATTAGTATAACTTCCAGACATATTACACAAGAAGGACATGCCCTGAACATCTGAGTCAACATTTTTAGTTACATAATGTTACAAACAGCAGTGGGAACTATGTCTGATATTTCTTAGCTTGTGTGTTCATTGCAGTCCTTTGTCTCATTTCTTTCACTCAAGGTTTTCCTCAGTTAACATTCAGACCCACTGTCTGCTGTAGAATTACGCACATGTGAGAGGACTTTTTCAATTTGAAATTAAAATTGAGGTGAACATCAGTTTTCTGTACAAGATAATTTTACTTTCTCATATACTATACAGTGTGTGTATATATATATATATATATATATATATGAGAAAATATTGTGGTTGTGAAAAATATCAATCTTGAGATTTTGGTGCATTTGCACATTAGAAGCCCCACTGAAAAAGAAAAGTTCATGTTCACTATTTAAGAGTTTTCATATAAAGCAAAAAATAAAGTTGTTCTTCAACTCTCTAAAAAGTTTTTTTAATTGAATGATGGAATGTGGTTTCATAAATTAAGTGCTTATGCTGTTATTAATTTATAATACAAAATATCCTTAAATACATAGAATAATAAAACCTGAAAGTCATATCCCACTTTCTTAACTCTGGCTGATGATACATAGTACAAGTTGCTGACATTCTAGAAATTTTGGTTTATCAAAATCTATCCTAGGAAGTGATCGTCTAAAAATAATTCATCTTGGACAACATTCTCAGTATAGCCGTATGTCGATGAGCCCAAAAATGATTGCTCTCCCACAGTTTCATAGGTCTGTGCATTTCCATGTTAGCATGTAGAAGTGATGTAAGAATTTTAAATAAGCACTAAAACTTAATGTATCTGACTGTATTGGAGTGGTATGTAAGTGATTATATATTATGGCACTAGATGTTTACATTCTTTGAGAACTGTAAATATGCTGTATGCAGAATCACACATGATTCCTCATGAGTGTAAGTCAGGTGCATAAGAAAATAACCTTTATTAGGCAGAGTACTATGTTAATGGGGGGGCACTATGCTACAAGCCTGAAGGTCGCAGGTTGAAGTCCTGATGAGGTCATTGGATCTTTCAGTTGACCTAATCATTCTGACTTCACTATGGCTCTGGGGTCAACTGAGCCTGTGACAGAAATGAGTACCACGAATCTTCCTGGGGGGTGCATAAGGCTGACAACCTCACTATTATCTGTGAATTGTTTGTCTAGAAAATGTGGGAGCCTCAACTTCTCACAACCCTATGGGCCTCCATGGCCTGTTACAGGATAGCTTTACCTATGTTCACAGTCCAGCTAGCTGAGCATTGCATTTTTCAATTCCATTGTCATTATTTTCTTGTTAAAATATGGCTGCCAACCCATAGAAGCAGGAGATTTGAAGTTTCTCATTCATGGACAGTAAACTATTACCCTGAATTAAAATACGGTTTTCAGCCACATAGTACTGGAATATTTAAAGTCCCTGTGCCTGGACAATAAAGTTTAAATTAACCTGGTCTGTTAGTTGAAATGAAGTCAGGCCTTTTTCTATGTATATATCAGTAGGAATTGGTCTTATTCAAGAAACTGCTTGATTCACTGCCGACATCACAAGAAGCTTGATAATGGTTGCAGGAACCTAATTTGCTGTCTTTTATTTGTAACAGAAATGTGTGTTGTCATTGACACCTGTGTTTACGTAGCTGCGATTGTATTATGTGTGCATGTGACATGATCATGGGTATAAAAGAAAATGAAGATAACCCAGCAAGTGAATTCAACAAAATGAAACATTTACTGCTTCTTATATTCTCAGCGTACATCATGTACATGGCAGTTGCAGTTCCGGTAAGGATCTTCATCAGAAGTTTATAGGTATAGTTATAGGTATGAAATAGAGAGATTGTGAAAGTAGATGGTTCAGCATAGGATTTAAAGGTGAGTTTTTTTTGCATTCTGTGCATTAAATAAAGGAACTGAACGCAATATCACAATTTCTCTTTCCCAACTCCAAAACTATTCAAAGGATGTTGTAAAAATTGTCTCTGACCATGTTAAACAGTTTTCATAAAATTTAATTTTGGAACAGGACAGTAAACTATAGGATCAGAATACCTCAGTATAGCAATGAGCTGGATGGCTGGGGTTCGATTCCCGGCAGGGGCAAGAAATTTTTCTCTACAGTGTCCAGACCAGCTCTGGGGCCCACACAGCCTCCAATTTTTTCATGGCTTAGTGCTTAATTAATTAAGCACAGGGACAGCTTTACCTTTTATTAGTAAACTATAACCCTTACTTTACATGATGCTAAAATTGAACTTTTATCAAATTTCTAGAAATTATCATCATTAGTACTGTATTTGTAAAGTCAAAATTCCCTACTTACTTTTGTTTTCCTTTACCTTTACTACTCTCTTGTGGAAAGGGGCACGCAGTAGCATAGTGGTTGAGGCACTATGCTACAAGCTGGAAGGTTGCGGGTTCAAGTCCCGATGAGGTCACTGGATTTTTTCAATTGATCTAATCCTTCCAGCCACACTATGGCCCTGGGGTCTACACAGTGGGGTACCATTTTCTTGTTATTTCCATTGTATTCATTGTATTTTACTGTAGTGGGTCTAAAGTCCTTGAGCTTTTCTTCTTATTTCAGGTGGAGAGACGTTATTTGGTTGCTTCTCGAGGAAGTGGTGTAAGTTGTAGATCATATTTTTTGGTAACTTAAATCAAATTGTTAGAAATTATGGAATTTTGCTGTGAGGTAAAGTGGCCCCAGAATCATCCTTGAGGTATGATTGAATGGCATGACTATCCCAGTTTATGAAGTCTGGTATAGAACAGACATGAAACATGGTGACCCTATATTCATTTGTGAATATGAAGGTCCTTAAATACTACTCTCTCATTTACCCCTGTCTTTAATGCAACTTAAAACTATTCACAATCTCTTTAATTTGAAATAACATTAAATTCACATCAAATGCTACATGTTTCTGCCTTACTTGGCCATCTTCAGGCGTGTGTTCACTGTTTCCATGCTATTGCATATCGTTGTTAACACTAAAATGTGAGAGCACAAACATGGCTGTCAAAAAAGGAAAATAACGCGGAATGGAGAGACAGCTTTATTCTCAGATATTTTAGTGTGAGCATCGATATGCAATAGCAAGGAAATGTATTGACTCCAGATCTAGTATAGTGTGATGGTTCTCATGCCATAAACAGTTGTCTGAAGATGACCGAGTAAGGCCGAAACATGTAGCAATTGATGTGATACTGTGAACATTCGCATTAAAGACGCAGGTGAACGAATGAGCAATACATCACTGCAACAGAATGCTCAAGTAGTCCTTAAATACAGTCAGTATAGTATTGATAAATAATGGCAACTGCCCATATTAACATCCTAAGTATAAATATAAAGAGAAAGATCAAAGACTGGAAAGTATTTTGGAATCCATTATATTGGCATGCTTCTTGTTTTGTTATTATGTGCTTTTGAAAATCCATGCCTGTACAGTAGGGCTTTGCTGATCATGAGAATGAGTCCAACTGACCTGCTGTTTGCTAATTCTTTCCCCCCCAGGTTTAACTACTGGATCAGGGACAAGGTTTATTAACTCTAAAGCAGAATGGTAACTACATGTACCACCTGCTTTAACATTAAAACCTATGCATATTTTCCAGAGAGTGTATTTATTCAAATTGTATGAATCCCAGAATAAACAATGATAATTCCTTAAACAACATTAGCCAGTTGGTCTTTTTCGTGGAGAGCCAGGTTTCTACCTTACAAAGTTTGAACCTGAAAAGCTCCCCATGTCTCCAGACAACTGAAATTAATAAGGGTAACATGTAAGATGTAGAGGCACCACACTGAGTGATCTCAGGTTTAAAGTTTAGTTTGAAACTTCTTAAGGCTGGTTGTGTTTCATGTAATCAGCCATTCAGACATGGTTGGTAAAACATTCTGGCCATGCTTTATCACACATAACATGGAAAAGTATCCTGGCTTTTCATTTCTGATTAGTTCTTGTAATAATCTGCCTCTGTATAAAAACTGTAATGATCTGAACTCTGAGGAAGGAAACACACTTATGTAAATCCTTATACAGGTCTTGTACAGTATATTCCCATGTTATTTACTCATGTACAGTAACATTCTCATCAATTCTGTTACAGTGTCTAAACTTAAGACAGATATTGACTAGACTCATGTAGTGGTAATGCTTTAAACTTGTATCTGGGAAGTGCCCAGTTCAAATCTCAGCTTGCAGACAGAGTATGTTGAGTCTTTCATGGTTTTACTGAGTCCCTCCAAGAAAATGCCAGGATAGTGTGTCAGTTACACCATGACTGTTTTCTTCCAAATCCATCTCAATTCATTATTCACCAGTGATCCTACCATTTGACACCACATTGTCCAAAATGACCCCCCCCCCCCAAAAGGGCACACATGTTGAACTCACTGGTGAGATAAATGTATGGTAGTTAATTAACTGTTCAGCTCGTCAGTCATACGGTGCTCACAAATTTTTTTATAGGGGCTCTGTGTCTCAGTCCCATACAAAAAACATCCATTCTCAAATGTTGTTCAGTGTTTGTTTGCTTAACCTCATTTTCTTGCAAGTCTTGGACACTCCCTGGCCTCCACACCAAGAGTTAACAGTTGTTTCCTGAATGTTACTCACATTCACAAGACATAAGATCCTAAGAGGTTGTGATGATGGTACATTAGTACAAATATGTTTCTGGACATTATCCATCATCCTAGCTTTATCTAAAAACACTGTCCTATTTATTTTTCAAAACATAAGTATTCTGCAAAATAAACAGGACAGTGTTAGATAAAGACAGACTGATGGATACTATCAAAGGCACAATATTTGCATTTACAAGACATAATTTGAACTACAAGAACCTCAAAATGAGAGCCATTCTGAAGATAAAACGTTTTTAACAAGCTTTACATGCATTGATTGAAAATTTGATGTATTTTTTTATTGCTAGTGGGATGGGACTAAGTCCCTTGTACTGCAGCCACTTCTGGCCTATTGTACCAGCCCCAGATGATAGGTGAGGGTGATTGTGGAGCAATTGGAGGAATGAAGATTGGCAGGGGAAACCGAAGTACTAGGAGAAAACCTGCCCCAGTGCCACTTTGTCCACCACAAATCCCACTTGACCAGACCCAGGATCGAACCCGGGCCACCGCGATGGGAAGCCAGCGACTAACCGCTTGAGCTATGGTGCTGCCAAATATGATGTAAACCCTTGTTGAAAAAACCACCTCCAGCATGACCAGTATCCTACAGAAACAGTCAGGGCTCTAGATTAGCCATTTTCAGATGAGTTCAGAAATATGAATCTCATAATTGGCAAAGTCTCACTGTATAATACAATTTATGTGTTATACTTGGTAGTAACTGTTTTCCTTCTTTTTTGTTTTTACAGAATATAACATTTGTTCCACTTTATGAAGCGTTGTTTGGCTCCAGGCCCTATGTTCTCTTTGGCTGATTACATTCACTTTGCATCTTACAATAATGAGAGAGTCATCCTACAGCAGCTACAGTGAATAAAATGTTAATATATGAACATAAATGACTTTAAGTTTATTAAACAGTTCCTTGTGTTTCTACCTTTCACCACATAAATACAAACACCAGAATCTGTACTGTACTCCTTTGAAGGTTAGTATGGTCTGTAAGAAACAAGTTGTGTTAAGATCCATTATTCTGCTGCTTATTCATCATGGCCAATAACACTGACATTAACCTGCTAGTAAATAACCTACCAGTCAGGAAACATTGTGAGCTGGATTCAAGACAAGTGTTCATGATTCTTGACATGCATCATGAACTGATTTCTTAAAACCAAGAGTTCAGTTCTCTCAAGAAAACAGATTAGGAATTGGTATGATTGCAAATATAACCATAATTAATTTGATGCAAAATTCTTCTTGCTCATTTATCATCATGCAAGCAGATGGGTGTGAAAAGTTGATTTTATATGGTAAAAACCAGCAAGGTCAGTTCTTCAACAATAAATAAATATACTTTGCCTATTACCTGTTGTTAGTGAACTGAGCTGGGCTCATAACTGATAAAATGATCAGTTGTACCAGAATTTTGGGGATAGCCACAGATTAATGTACAAGGTGTTTTATGAGAAAAGTGCTCACTTGTAGAGCTGTTGTTTCCACCAAAAGAAATTTATAATTCTGATGACTTCCTTTCCTCGGAGTTTTCTTTTTTTCATATTGATCTTGATGTTCATTATTGCAGAGGCAAATCTGACAATTGTTGACAAAGGCATGAAATATTTCTATTTCATTAAGTATGTCATACAAAAATATTGCAAATAAAAGTTTAAGGCTTTACTGAGATCCATATTTATGTCGCAAATCCTGTTTCCGTTAGACGAGGAATTTTTTTAAGATTTAATAACGTCTGATTTGGGCCTGAAGTGCATGAGAGCTACACTGTACTAATAAGGTCGAAGATCCAATTACCTACATAAATGTTATTTAGTTCCCACATATGTAATTTCATTTAAATATGTTTAGTGGTTTTGGAGATACTATGAATGGACAGACATTGGCAAAACTAAAAATTTCCCATACTGCACACTTTTAAACCAATTCATGCAAAGAATTCAGAAAAGTTCAGCGTTTCATAACAAACATAACAAACTTCCGCCATTCACCAACCAACCAGCGAAACTCCGGGAACAACTGCCATCTATGAGTGATGGTTTTAACTACATACATGCAACAAAGGAGTATAGGCGCGTAATGCAACGACGATGCAGTTTGTAAGTGGGAAATTACAAAATGTCTGTTTTGATAAATTTTAAGTCTTAAAACAGAGAATTATGATCGATTGCAGATTAATTCTTTAATGACTTTGAATAAATTTTAGTTGTTTGGTACCCTGGAATGAGGCAGAAGATAGTCACTAATGGAGAATATGAATCGAAGTGAAAGCGTCTCATTTCCAGGTACTGCAGTGGTACAAATGCGGTTAAATTAGACAAATCAAAGGACAAGCTTAGATTTTGGATTTCCTGACCTTTCAGCCACTTTTTACCAGGTAGGTTCATAATTCCATGCTATCTTCATCCTATCAGACTGCTCGGCCTTTTGAGTACTTCTATGTAGTTCAGGTAAAATGTAAACTACTTTGTCAGGAATTAAGGAAAAATAGTATATAAATTACATAGTCCTCACCATTATCAGTATTACGATTCAGTTTTATGATCGCTGGCTTCACTCTCCAACGCTCTAGTAAGAAATTCCAGGCTTAGTGTTTCTCATTGTTGTTGTTCGTTCTTTGTGGACAGTTTTCGCCACATATGTCTAAAGGAATATCAGTGCAGTATAAAGCACTGAAAAGGCAGAGGTATAATCACGACGCATACTGCTTCGATAATAAAATTAAACCATTCGTAAATTAAATGTCTTGCCTTCTACTATTAGAAGCGAAAGTTCAGAGTTTCAACGCAGCCTCGGTAGCGCAGTAGGCAGCGCGTAAGTCTCATAATCTTAAGGTCGTGAGTTCGATCCTCACCCGGGGCATTTTTTTTTTTCAGTCAGTAGTTGTCATTTGACTTAGATGACATATGGTATTGTTTTAAACTTGCCAAATATTTGCAGGATGCTATGAAAATATTGGTTTCCGGGTTTTATGTTCCGGTTTATGCGTGAACGTTTTAAGTGATAGCTTCAGTGATAGTTCCATTCGGCAAATAACACACCAGTCTTCTGAAGCGGGGTACTGATTGAAAGATACTAGTCTCAGAGCTAGACAAGAAATTCCTCACTCTTCACGGACCTCAAATTTTCATTATGGGCCCTGTTCCAAGGTGGGTAAGTCCTATTCACACCATATTTTCTTAACACAAATTTTAATACTGTCCATTCATTTAATTGAAGTATCCCTAGTGGTCGCTGTCTTTGAGTTTCCGCCCAACTAAGATTTAGTCATGGTTGTTTATTATTTTATTATCATACATATTACTGGCTCAATAGACCAGAATTGGCCGCAGTATAAGGGACTTAGTCCCACCCCACTAGCAATAAAAAACATCATATATATTAGAAACAATTTTGTTGTATCGGAAATGATATAAATAGCAGCAAGACCCGAACACCTCCCTTCCGTTCTACGACTGAAGGAACCAGCGTGTGAAGGAAACGTGCAATCCTCAGGATTGTAATTATTTGTTACTTATACCGGAAATTGAAGTCACGCAGGAACATTTTGCAGGAAGTTGACAGATACACACTATATCAATGGATTCTTTTTATTGCTAGTGAGGTGGGACTAAGTCCCTTCTACTGCGGCCACTTCTGGCCTATTGTACCAGCCCCAGATGATAGGTGAGGGTGATTGTGGAGCAATTGGTGGAAGGAAGATTGGCAGGGGAAACCAAAGTACTTGGAGAAAACCTGCCCCAGCGCCACTTTGTCCACCACAAATCCCACTTGACCCGACCCGGGATCGAACCCGGGCCGCCGCGGTGGGAAGCCAGCGACTAACCGCTTGAGCTATGGCGCAGCCATATCAATGGATAATCTGTTAGCAAGAAATTGCGAAAAGACTTTTTTTTATTCTCTCCTTTATTGACAGTCAGACTGTACAAGCTATAAGCCAATGTGCTAACTGGTGTACAATTTAATAACTAAACGAAAAGATTGAAAGAGAAAATTTGGCAAGCACGTGTGACAGGTATTCGACTATTAATTTCACAAGGCTAGTGATATTCTCTTATTTCCAAGTAATTGTACTGTGCCGTATTTTGAAACGATTTTTCAGGAACGTTGTGTGGGTGTAAGTGGATTATAGTGGATTATATTCACATAATATGAACAGATACTTCTCTTTTCTGCATTTATTTGACTTCGGCAGAGGTTTTTCATATATTATTACATTCTTGCTGGTAGAATTCTGTAGAAATACGAATATATAACAGACATGTCGAACGCGTTCATCGCGGGACGATTTTTGGTCGATCTCATAGGCCTACAAGGAAATTATACGTGAAAAGCATGTAAATTCACTTGTAATATAATATGATTATATTCAGATTTTGAAGGGGAAATACGTATTGGTCATTCCTATTTTTCTGTTCTTATGTAGCTTACGTGAAAATTGCTTTACACTTGTATTAAGTGAACTGTGGGGAAGTCCCTACTCTATCCTTATCATGTGAAATCTTATTTTTACCAATAGTTTTGCTTAAAGCGAGGTACGACGATATGAGGGGGTTGTAGATCACTGGCAGTTTTGACACTAAAAGTTGATGACAACCTNTTAAGTGAACTGTGGGGAAGTCCCTACTCTATCCTTATCATGTGAAATCTTATTTTTACCAATAGTTTTGCTTAAAGCGAGGTACGACGATATGAGGGGGTTGTAGATCACTGGCAGTTTTGACACTAAAAAGTTGATCACAACCAGTTTGAAGCTGGACATGCCTGGTATATTGGAATAAGTCACGACTGATTGTGTCCGAGTGCTTGACTAGTCACCGTTCATGAACATCTTACTGTCAAATTCGATGATGCATAGAATCGTTAGTAATATTTTAATCAATTCTGGCCATTTATATACTTTCCTATGCATATTTTGTTTCTTCTTTCAAGTTGAATGTACTGTTCCTTGGTTTAGCCAACCAAATAACACCAAAGACAAAGTACGGGTTCCGCAAAAAAAGTTTTGCTGTGTAATTTCCTCGGCCGTTTACTTCAAAATAATGGCCTTAACCTTCTGTTTTAGGCACCAACTGAAAGAAATAGGAAAATATACAGAAAGCAAAGACGGCAGAAGCTGAATACCCACCAAGGCTCTAAGAGTTCTTGTAATAATATTTACAAAACTGGGAAGAAAATCCGAACTATAAGCCACAGTACTGACCGGTCACAAATCACATTCTTACAGATAGCAGCTCGAAATCGACTGTTCTGACGAAGGGTTTAGTAATTCGTCTCATGCAACCGAGAAAAGTGTTCTGATATTATCTTTAAATATGCCAAATCGCTTCTGTCCACGTCCTCTTCAATTCATTGTTCATAATTATGCCACGAATTGGTGTCCCATGTCCAAAAGTACGTTCGCTCATACCCCAAAAGCAAGTCAAAGGAGATTGGTTTTTATTACGTGCTAACATATTTAAATTGTGTTTATGAAGCCCTGCAGCTCATACAGTAGTGTTAAATAAGCAATAAAACAAACAATAACGAGCATTATCAGTTGATTCATAATAATTAAGTAAACGACGAAACAAACAGCGATCAACTTAAATAAAGGATTCATGGTAACCGAACGGTACAAGAGATTAGGCACTGTCAGGGGCTCCTGGAGTGCGGTAACTGGCCGCTGTGTGGCTCTGCCAGTCAACTGGCTGCCACCAGGGTCGCAGTGTCCCGCGGTCAACCGTTAGTGTAAGAACACATGTGAATGAGCTGCGCCTCTTAGAAGATGCTGGTTGTAGACGCGGGGTGTTCCACCCCCGGCAGTGCATCCCCTTCTCTTCTTGATTCACCAACTCTTGCGAGGGTGGAACGTGCCCGATTACGTCAAGAGGGTAGCGGAAGTGCTGGTAGGGTCGGCGTAGGGGGTACTTCACCCCAACACCATGCAGCCTGCTGCCAGGTAAATCAAAGCAAATTCGTATTGTATATGTTATGTACTTTCTCCGTCTTTGAGCGACATGCAATGCTGTCACAGGTCAAGCAGTTAAATGTGGCTGTATATCGCATTGATATGGACCCAGTAACACACATAGCTTGTAGTTCTAATTGAATACATTTGTGTAGCGTTATTTTCTGTGTAGTACCATCAACATTTAATCACTGGTTACATTGCATTGGTGTAGTGCTACGTATTCTAGTGGTCTTCGTTTTGAATCAAGGTCAGAGGACCAGCTGTCCGAAGCGTTCTGTTGGTTTCCTAGTTCTACCAGCCAAAGATCTAGATCAATAAAATTGGCCACGACCTTCTTGTCACACTTCAGTAACAATTTGCTGTTCGTAATCAGAACGTATTAGAGTCAGTATATTGTAACTTAACTATCGGTAAATCAATAAAGAAACACCATTGTGTTTATTGATAGTAACATGAATATAGAAGGCAATTTTTTAAATCGAATATTAATGCATTTTAAAATATATGAGACTTTAATGAATTCCTGGGTTATTGGTTGACCAGAGAAGAATTGGGCGCTATATCATCGACTTATGCATTCATTGGCTCTGGGATCCACCCAGCCTCTTATCCAATGGATACCGTGGGAAAAGCGGCCAGGGTGTGAAGCTGACCACTCATTTCCATCTAATGCCGAGGTCAAGGATGGTAGAGCTACACCTCCACTTCTCCATATTTGTTTATGGCGTGGTAGTTAATTAAGCACAGGGACAATTTTATCTTTACTTTATTGTCGCTAAAAAAAAAAGCGTTATAGATGATTGTCATTTGTTGGTAGTAGTAAATCGATTGGAGATAAATGTTCCAGTCGGTTTTTCCGATATTTTGAATTGTGTCAATATCTTAATTCTTCGGTTCAGGACCGGTCTTTGGGCAAGGGAGATCCCCAAGCAGTGTAAATTAATTGAGGTATAAATCGTGATAGCCCTATGTCTGTATGATATTGTATTTAGGATGTTTTCGAGTGATGGGAATTCTTAGTGGCGGCTTCATTCATATCGACCAGACAGTAGGGCAGCGGTTCTGAACCGGTGTAAATGAAATATATTTAATCCATTATTATCAGGCCGATGATAGGGGCCGCACGATCTAAGTCGTGAACTGTCCTCGCTCGCTCGAACACTGGGATCATGGGTTCGAATCCCACTCAAAGTATGGATGTCTGTTATTGTGTGCGTTTATTCGGTGTTTGTGTTGTGTTCTGTGTGTAGGTAGCGGCCTTGCCACGGGCTGATCCCCGTCCTAGTAGTCCTACCGTTTGTGTATAGGATGAAGAAACGGAAAAAGCGGCCAATGCCCAACAAAGGGCCTTCGAGCCATAATAATAAAATATCGGACACTGTCGAATGGACCAAAAAATCATCTTTGACAAATTTTTCTGTGCATGGAATAAAAAGGTTATATTCAAGCAGTCTCGGCATCTTGTCGTGTTTACAGTGCGCGGTGGCATGTAGCTTTGGATAAAAATTAAGTCACCCGTGAATTTCACTCTGAGACGAAGGGGCTGCATGCATCTCCCTCTGAGGCCTAGAGGTACGTTGACTGTAAGCGGTTCAGAAACGCCGCTGTAGGGTTTCAGCTTCACTTTTCGACGTGAACTAATGGGTTACGTTTCACTGAGACGTAATGATACCTCACAACTGAACCACAGACAATTTGTTCATAATATTAAAACTGTTTCACGATTGTACGAGATCATTGCAAACTGAGGAGACGGTGCGAAACATAGTGTCTTACATTAAGGGAGGAACACAGACCGAGGGTGTTTGAGAACAGGGTGGTGAGGAGAATATTTGGACCGAAGAGAGATGAAGTGAGAGGAGGATGGAGAAAACTGCATATTGAGGAGCTTCATAACTTGTACTTTTCGCCAAGTGATCAAGTCAAGGAGGATGAGATGGGCATGGCATGTAGCACGAATTGGGGAGAAGAGGAATATATATATGATATTGGTGGGAGAGCCAGAAGGAAACAGACCACTAGGGTAACAAAAGATGTAGGTGAGTGGATAATATTAAAATTAATCTTAGAGATATAGAACGGAGTGGTATGGACTGGATTCATCTGGCTCAGGATAGAAACCAGTGGAGGGCTCTTGTGAACACGGTAATGAACCTTCGGGTTCCATAAAATGCTTAAAAATTCTTGAGTAGCTGCAGAATTGGTGGATCCTCCAGAAGGGCTCAGCTCCATGGAGTTGGTTAGTGGTATTTTAACTGCTGAAAGTTGAGTATACAGCTTGAATCATTACGTTGGCCACGTATGTTCCTAGAAATCTGTTCTAGACGGCGTTATGCTGGCCACTTGTGCGGAATCAGCAGGCATGATCGCCTGCAACGGAAGACACGTATCAGGACATAGAAACCGCTTTCCTAAGAATGAAATCGTATTCCTGTATGTTACATACATGTCCTTCGTATACTCGTATATGTGACAACAGATGTTCGATCGGTTTACACGTCAGATAACAAATTCTACCCTCGCAGCGTTCCGCCAAAAGAGAAACCGCATTTACCAACGCGTTGCTTAGCATCAGCCTAATTATCGCCACGGTGCAGTGCAGTAATACGAGTATACTCCTGGTCTACGCCAGCACAGTTATTCTTGGTTTCAGGCACCGTCGGGACCCATGATCATATTTTTGTTCTTTCTACATAACAAAAGACATAAAATACCTCACTTGGGCACCCGGTAGCCTTGTTGGTTGAGGCACTGTGCTACAAGCCGGTAGGTCGCGGGTTCAGTTCCTGACGAGGTCATTGAATTCTATCAATTGATCGAATCCTTCCAGCCGCATTATGGCCCTGGAGTCGACTCAACCTCTAACAGAAATGAGTACCAGGAATATTCCTGTGTGTAAAGGGTGGGCGGGGCGTAAGGCTGACAACGTCACCGCCATCTGTGAGTCGATTATCTAGAAGATATTGGAGCCTCGACGTCTAACAAACCTATGCTATGGGCTTTCACAGCCTGTTAACAGGGAGAGCTTTACCTTTTTATATAACGTGTATACAAGATACTCCGTGGGCTGTAGTCCGCAAGCGAACTATACCGACTGAGCGACCGCCGCTTGTCGGCGAAGTTAGTGCCAACTTTTGCGGAAAGAGGGTGTCGCGTGGTCAGCGCAACGGCTCCCCACGGCCGTTAATCTCGGTTTTCTAGACCGGAGCCGCTATTTCCTTGAAATAGCTTTTCAGTTATCCTCTCGAGGCTGAGTGAACCCCGTTCCAGACCCACTAATTCTCAGAAAATCTGGTAGCACCGGGAATCGAACCCGAGACCTCTGGATCTGTAGCCAGGAACTCTGACCACTGTATTGTGTAATTGCCATATTTACTCTTCGACATATGTGGACGGAGCGTGTTGCTGTAGCGGTAATACTCTTTGACTCGTATTCGAGGTGTCCTTTGTAAGAATATCGCCAGGAACATTTACAATCGTAAGTTGAGGGTTTTCATACTTTTCCTCAGTCGCTACAGGCATATTCCGAGATAGTATCTCCATTAGGCCGCAACAGTGCCTTTCAAATAAACACTAATCTGTCATCCATCTCTTCGAAGGTTTATAGGCCAACTACCGAAAGCATCGTGAAATAACCCACACAAATAAGAGGCATTTGTGAAGAAATCAAATAGGAGGGTGGGATGATATATTAACGAATAAATGTAAGGATTTTCCCATTTGTCACAAACGAAGAGATGAATGAGTTTATTGAATTCTGTATGTGTCAATGTATAAATGTACGAGGGCTGTTAGGAAAGTAACCTCCTTTCAGTTTAGGCAACTAATGATGTAGGAGAAGGGGAAGAGCCCTTTCATGCGAGGTAGCGTCACATGACCCATTGCCTTGTAAACCGTCACATAACTGATCACTTAGTGTTTGTTCTTGTCTCTTCAGAGTGAGTTATGATGTGTCCTGCTATTGACAATCCCGCCAGCCGCATACTTCACACTAATAACACGAGAGCTGCGGAAATCCATCTTGAATTATGCGCGATTTACGTCCAAAGTGTAATGAGTGAAGGAACACTAAGACAGTGGTGTAGAATGTTGGGAGATGGGCGAACAAATGAACAGATTTTCACGGTGAAGAACAAAGTGGTAGGCCGTCTGCTCACGGCTGCGCACAAAACGCAGAGAATAGCTTCAGCTTTGAATTTTTAGAGCGATATCACAAAGATGGCGATGAATTTCTTAATCACATAGTGCGAGTAGCAGATAATTAAACCTGGGTTTCAGTTGTGAATGTTGAAACCAAAGAGCACTCAAATCAGTGGATGCACACACATTCGCCAGAGAAGCCGGAGAAGTTTAAACGAACGCTTTATGCATGACAGAAGGCTGATGGCAACTGTTTTCTGGGACAGGAAAGTTGTGCTGATGGTGTAATTCATGCAGCAAGGGACCACAATAACGTCAGAAGTGTATTGCGAGACGCTAACATACTACATAGGGCCATTCAGAGCAAAAGGCATGGAATACTGATATCCGGTGTAATGCCTCTCCATGCCAATGCGCGTCCGCATACAGCTGCTCGCACTCCAGCACTGCTGGAGCATTTCAGCTGGGAGTTGTCTGACTACCCTTCTTACAGCCGCTCCGAGCGACTGCCACCTGTTTGCCTACCTGAAGATCTGTTTGGAATCACAGCGCTTCTACAATATGAAGAGTTGATGGAAGGTGTCAAAACGTGGGAGAGCTCACAGGCGGCACACTTCCTTGACACGTCATCATCAGTAATCTGTCAGACGACAGGTCCACAGTCTCTTCCAAAACAATTCCTCCACTTAATGCGATCTAGAGCTTTCTCCTTCAAATGACAGTATCCTCTTCTGCCCCAAGGTCATCCAGCATCTTCTTACGTCTTCTTGTCACTTCTATCCGCCCCTCTATCTTTCCTTCGATAACTTCTTTTAGAAGGCAGTTTCTGCGTAAAACATGACCAATCC